AGTAATATACCAGGTAATGTAATGGCGTATTAGCTTCTAAGAAAAGCACTACCCTTCGCTTTCATAGAAAAGCTTGCGAAATATCCACTTCTAAGCTCAAGAGAAGAGAAGTCTTAATGAGTGTAATGTGGTCAGCATGGGATAAAGAAATGATATATCTACAGTTATAGACCTTCCTACAGGGTATATTCTATTCACGCAGGCACGAGTAGATGTTGGGCATATCATATGACGACTTCTGCAGTTGTTTCAGACAAAAAGAGGAACCTGAAACCTTAAAGCACTTCCTTGGCGATTGCCCCGCACTTTCAAGGAGTAGTTTGTAATCTCTTGGGACGGCAACCTTTAAAGGTTCCTGCGATATACTAAAGTGTCTGCGACAAACTCTACACATTGGTTTGACTAGTGGCTGGGGGTCATTAGGATCCCCACAGTGGTACCACCGTGAGCTGATGCCCGCAACCACTACCTACCTGTGAACTCTTAACTAAAGACCTGTCACCGGAACAGAGAAAGTGTCAAAATGTATAAGACGTGTGAAAAGAACAAAGCTCAGTTCAAAGCATCTCCTTGCTCTGTCCACATTATTTTGGTCATTATCGTATTATACTGCGAACCGCTGAATGCTGCCCCTTTTTGCTCGCCCTGAGCTAAATCAGTTCTACTTTAGCTAGCTTCTGCTCAGTCGAATTTCCGTTTTCTCTGTAGTTGTTGACCGCAGATTTCTCTAATTGAATATTTTGAAAAGTATTATCTGGTCACCCCTTACATGCTGCCGATGTTTTAGAACAATGTGGTCCTTCCATCACAAGCGTGTGGTGCCGTTATAATAGTATGTGCATATGTTACAGAAAAAAAACCGTGTCTGGCTCGTTTCATACAAAGCTCATATGTCTACGTTTATATATATATGTTGTTATTGTTGTAGATTTTTATCGAAGTATTTTAATTGATTGCTTTTGTGAGACTTTTACAGGTAAAAGTGGCGAATTAATTTACTGCGCGCTACCGTTATCCGCTGCCATACAACAAATAGCACTTGTTTGTACCCTGACGCAAGTCTAAACGATTATGAAGCCCACAGACTTGCATTGAAAACCCCAAACCTCCTACCATTAGTTTGGCAAAAGTGCAACGACACACCGCTCCTTCCGCTCTTCGCTTTGCGTTGACTCGCCATTGGTTGACTTATAGTCCTCCACTCGCAGGGCTCCCTTCTCCTCGGCTCCAACTTTCCCTCGCCAACATTGTGCGTCAACGTCACTGTCGGCCCACCGCTGCGTTAACATATGTGTACATTCATCGTCTGGTGTCTGAAAATGATGATTAATTGTCTGGGTGGAAGTTAGAAGTGTGTAAATCGCAAGGTATTGAAAGTCTCAGCCCCGCCGTAATGCTTGAATGTTTGCGCTGGATTGGCGAAAGTTCAAGTGAGAATTTATTGATTTTTTTTCTTACACCATCAATTTCTATCGCCTTCTGAAGGTGGTTTGGCAGTAGGAGGATTCCTTTGGTTTTTGTGTTCAGAAGAAGTGTTATTAGACAAAGTTGTTGAATCTGCTTGCAGTCAGCATACATTTTTTTAAATTAAATTAAAATCGTGTTAGCTCGAATAGTAATTCTGAACCATTATCGAACTATAGCGGTCTCTTTAGAATTTTTGGAGAAACCTTTTTCCTCTTTATCTCTTAACATTCTGGATATTAATTTAAGTTTCTGGCCAGTAAATCAAACGGTCTTTCCAAGAACCCTTTGAAACAGTAGTTGCACAAGTTCCAAAATTCGAATCAACTTCTGCACCCGAGCAGATTAGAATTGTTCATAACAATATTCGATAATCTAAATACGAATATTTATTGGTTTTAGTGTGTGAAATCTTGTCCAAGCACTCAACCGTGAAGGACCGATTTTTCCGCACGAAATCAAATTGTTTGCCAAATTTTCATACGCAAAAATCAATGAGGTAATATTCGTCGGCTCTGACATTGAAAAATTAATGGCCGTCAGATTACTTACCAAATTACCAATGAAGTAACAGCATGGTCAATTCTTGGAGAAGTGTTCTTTCCCAAGTATGTTCTAGACATCAGTCACCAGATTACCACGATTGTTCCTACATGAATATGTCCCCTTATGGGCAAAAAGCTCGGAGATCCAATTTTCACCGGCCTCTCTTGAGGCCAACTTCTCACTGTTGAGCGCGTTCGCCATGGACAGGAAAAGATGGTAATCCCTTGGTGCTAGGTTCGGACCTCCCATCCAAGCTCCTGAGGCTTCCGGCGTGTCACCAAAAACGTGTGTGGCCTGGCTTTGTCCTGATGAAACACAACTCGGCCTCTGCTGATCAAAGAAGGCCTCTTCTGGATGAGTGCTGTCTACTAGCGGTCGATTTGTTGGCAGTAGAGGGGCTAATTGGGTCGTTTGACCATAGGGGAGCAGCTCAAGTCGATTTTGTGGCGATTCAGGAGGAATTCGCAGCTGGAAATTTGGTCCATCAAATTTTTTTGCGTTAGTTTGTGGGGCACCCAAATACACTCCAAAGCACTTGATCGCCTTGATTCGCCTTGATCGAAGAAAAATTGTAAAATATAGCGAATTTTCTCTTTGCTGGTGTCCATCTGTGACGATCGCTCACAACGTACCGAGTCAATCAATCGAAAAACTGTCAAAGATACATTTGTAGCGCGAATAAACACGTTTTCAGCGCCGTATAGTATGACATGATGCGACACGTAACACTAGTACTATGGACAATAACGTCATCTCTTAGATAAAAACCGAACGAACTTTTTACTCAACCTAATATCTCAAAACCCAATTGTTTCCGTAGCGGTGTTACGTAGTGAAAGTGCTCATGGAGAGCGTTTTTGATCACATTGTTCTCCTCTTTCATGGGGGCGTGGACGAAAATCAACAGTTGATTAAAAAACCTTGCTTTAATATGGATTGTGGCTCTAGACTCTTCACCCACTGGAATGAATACTAGTTCCAGCCGAGGGTGTCTCTAACACCAAACTTGCGCACATTGACATGTAAATTTCACAAGGTCCCAACTTTCTCCGTTTTTGTCCCATCCATCGCACTTCTTGGACGGTGGTGATGTCAGCCTCTAGTTTTACGAAGGTTGATGTCTTCGTTTCTTAATTAAGAGATTGGACATTCCTGTTGCAGCCCTCAAATAATTTGTGGAGGTATTCATAAAAGGGGGTCTCTAATTCGATGCTTATTGTAGTTGTTCTACATCCTACATAAACCATTAATATGAGTACTATATTTTAGTATTAATTTTTTAATTTTAATACTACATTTTTGTCGAAAATTTATTTTGTTAATTCAAATTTTTTTATTTTTTTTTAATTACTTTTTTTTTAATTTTCAAATATCAGAATTTATATACGGATTTTAGTACTAATATTTGGACAAAAAATATTTTACTACTTGAGTTGACATAATTTGTATTACTAAAATAATTACTTTTTCAAACTCAGTAATAAATTTTACAATACAAACAACTAAGTTTAGTACTATTTTTGTTTTATATCGGAGCAATATCTCCGAATTCTTAACATTGAAGCTTTTTTTAATACAATTTTATTTATTGCATAATTCATTTTTATATTTTAATTTTTATTTTTGAGTTACAAAATTTAAAAAAAAAATTATTAAATGGCTACTTTTTTAAAATTTTATAACTCAAATTATGCATAGTGTTGCCAGATACAAGCTCTGTAGCGCTTTGTACATAGCCGCAAAATTCAAAAGACAAAAAAGCAGAAGGGAGATATTTGACAATCTAATATATTAAACGATTAATTTTTCGAAATTTTTTAACTCAAAATTAAAAATTAAAATTTCAATATATTTTGACACTATTTTTTTTTTTTTTTTTTTGTAAAGTTGCCGATTTTCTTTACTTAATATTATATTCAACGTAAAGTGGTTAGTACTAAAATTAGCAGTATTTTTAGTACTTAAAATTATAATATTATATATGATTGATCATTTTCATAATACATTTTCACTTTTATATTTTTGGATTATATTTTTCTTTCTAGTCACTTTCAGATTTAATTTTTTATATATTTTTTATCGAATTTCCAGTGTTAAAATAAAATAGGTAGTTTTTCCAACGCAGTACTCTAGTTTCTGTTTTAAACTTTTGTATTGATTACATATCTCGTTGGTAGCGAAAATTTTGCTTACTCTAGTATTAAATATTTAAAAAAAAAAATTAAATCAAACTGTGAATTTAAAAAAGAAAATTTAGTACAAAAAATTTTCAGTAAAAATTTAGAAGGAAATCGACAAAATAAATATAAAAAATTTAAGTACTAAAAATACTGCTAACTTTAGTACAAATTTTTTCTGTTAAATTTTTAGTAATGAAACTTTTTCGGAAATTTTATAGAAATTTAGCATAAATTGTTTGCGAAAATTTAGTACCAAACACACGGCTTGCGCTAGTGCTAAATTGTTAAATTTGCTTTTTATCTGCTTGGGGTATTACAAATTTAGTGATAAAGTACTTTTTATGTTCAAAATTTATTGCCAGACTGAGCAGTGTATTTAGTACTAAATCTTTAGAACTATATTTTCTCAAGTTTTTGTACCAAATTTTATTTTGCTGATTCACAGCTTGACTTTCTTTTTTTTTATTTTAAGTCATATAAATTTTTAGTATTTCTAAATTTTAGTACCAAATTTCCAATGCGAAATTTTTAGTACTACTGTATGCAACAGAATTGCTGTACGGCAGTAACGATTGGGCAGGCGAATTTTTCAAAACCTCCAAGGTTGCAAAAATAATTTTTATTTATTTTTCGTGACTTTTTTTAATTTTGAATAATTCTGAAAACAGGATATAGGTAAATCTGAATAGGAAAACTTTCAAACTTGATGCTGCAAATTAAATTTTTATATATTTGAATTTATTGCCTTCATTGAATTTTCCCCATTTCGTTTATACTAACTTTTTATCCTCCCTCTCTATTTATTAACAGACGCTAAGCGTGGCAAGTTGGCCAACAATGTCGCCGCAACATCGGCTGCAGCGCTCACTGCTACCAATATTGGCTCGAGTGCAGCAAAAGCAGCCAATCCCAATGTACAACAACATCAAGCTAGTCAAAATACAAATAAAATGATGCCACCTGCTCAGGTGCAGTATCAGCAGCTACAACAACAGCAGCAACAGCCAAATGTGATAAAGAATGTAACAAACAATGCAGGCATCAAAATAATCCAACAGCCGCAGCACCACCAGCATCAGCAGCAGCAGCAGCAGTCACATAACTCTCTCGCCGCCGAAGACAACAAAATGTGGCGTAAAGATGCTGAACGTGTGCCGCCATTGCCACAAGCAGCAACAACAACAACAACAGCTATAACCACTATTGCTGGTGAGGATAACAATGTGGTTACGCCCACGTGGACGACCGCAAACGGAGGCGTAATTGGTGGAGGTGGCAGTTTGGGTGGTGTCTTGAGTCACCAACAAACCACTAATCGTTACACGTTGAAACGTCCCCCCACTTCGCCAGTGAAGAAGCAGCAGCCAAATTTTAAGGATGATCCCACTGGATATCTACAACAACAAACAGCATTGTTGCACAGCTCAATGATGAATGTGGCCATGGACGATGAAGACGACGAGGGCGATGGCGATGGCGATGACAATGGCGACGGCGACGGTGACGTCGACGGTGACGGTGACTGTGAGGCAGACGGTAATGATGACGACGACGATGATGATGATGATGACGAGGAACAGGAAGAAGAAGAAGACGAAGAAGGAGACGACGAGCAGGAAACAGATGCTTGCGGTGTTGAGGATGATGTAGAAATGGCAGAGGATATGGATGAGCCAGAGGACACGGATGAATATGAAAGCGTGTCTGAGGAAGATAAGGAGATTAAGATAAAGCACGTTGCAAGTGGCAGCAACAACAACAATGGTGTTAGCAATGGCAACTTTAATGCCGCTCTGCAGCTGAATGTGCAGCAGGAAATGACAGCGTCAGGCGTGTGTGTGGAGAAAAAGACTCAGAGTATTTATGCCAAGAAGGTTTATGTACAGAATACCGGAGCAGCAAATCACCAACAACAGGCGCAGCAGCAACAGCAGCAACCAGCACAGCAAGATACCACTTTTTACAGACCTCAACAACAACAGCAACAGCAAAAGCAACAGCAACGCAAGTCCCAGTCAACAGGAGTACAACATCAACATCAACAGCAGCAACAACAACAACAACAAATAATTCTCTCAACCAATTCAGTACTTATGCAGCAACAGCAACAACTACAACAGACACAACTCCAGCAACAACAACTGAAACAAATGCCAGTTGTCTCCATCAATGGCCAGCTTTTGGTGCCAACCTCAATGGCTGCCGATGGTGGCACGAACTACACGCTTGCTTTGAAACCACAGCAGCAACAACAACAAATTCAGCTAATACAACAGCCAAATGTCATTTTTCGGCAACAGACACAACCGCTGCAACAAAAGCCGTGTCTTGTGTCAACGGCACAGGAGTCCCCGGTATCCTCAAGTACCGCCTATACTTCGCGTGCAACTCCCGAATCACAGCAACGTCACACGCCAAGACCGGAGCAGGTCGGCGCCATTTCGACTAGCAATGAGAGTCCATTACCGTGCCCATCCCCAGCCGACTCAGTGGAGTCGGGCAGCTCGCGAGCATCTTCCAGTAAAATGGCAGCGTCGCCAGCGCCCATGCAGCAGCAAAAACAAGTCCAGCAGCAACAGCAGCAAGTCGTTTCTCAAGCGAACACCAGTCAAGTTATACAAATGCGCGTGCAACAGCAACAGCAACACCAACCACAGCAACACCAACCACAACCACAACAAATACGCATCATACGTCAAGCATCACATCAACAACAACAGCAACAACAACAACCGCAACGCATCGCCCTTGCACGGACTTCCATAGCCGCCAGCCGCGCCATAACAACAACAACGGCCACAACAACCACAGCAGCGGCCACCACAGCTGTCACTGTCACCGCTAGTCAACAGCAATTGGAGACGCTTGGACCACCGCAGCACCAACCGCAAGGGCATGCACAAAAGTTGCAAGCCACCGTACAGAAACCGACCATTCCAGTGCACCTGCCCACAAGCCAAATCATTATGACCTCCACCGGTCAGCTTATTGTAATGCCTACCAACGGCAAGCCGGCGGCACAGCTACAACAACAACAAGCGCAGGGTCAGCAACAACTGTTGATTACCACCACCGCTAACAACAATGGCGGCGCAGGCGCTGCCCAGGCATCCACAGGCAATGTCATCATACAACAACACCACCCACAGGGTCAACTGGAGGTTTTGGGTGGACATCAGCAGCTTACCACTACCGCAAATGGAAGTATCATACTACAAAATGGCCAACAACATCACCAGAGTAGCTATATTGTTGGCCAAGCAACGGCGGGCGGCGGCAGCACGACAACCACTGCCCAGTTGCAGCCAACCACAGTCATACTGAACTCCGCCGGTCAAAATATATTGACCACAAGCAATGGCACTAAGGTGGCACTGGCGACCACCGCCAACACTGGCAACATTATTCATCACGCTGGTGGCCAACAAATAATTGCTGGCAATCAATTGCTGACCACCACCCAAAACCCAGCCGCTGCCGCCACCGGACTGCTGCATGGACAGCAGGCAGTCGTCTTGAATACCCTACCCAATGGTGGCTATGTCATACAACAACAACAGCAACCTGCTGCACAACAACAATTCGCCACGCTGGATGGGCAAGTGGTTAGTCAGATTGTACAACAGGCAGATGGCACCACGACCACCGCCTACCACGTTCAACAAACGCAACAACAGCCACAACCGATTGCACAGGCACAGCAGCAGCAACAGCAGCAGCAGCACGCTCAGACGCAACGCATTATCATCACTTCTCCGGATATGCAGAAGCGACGCGCCAAGAAGCGTAAGAACTCCACGGGAAGCACATCGCCCACGAGCACGCCCACCAATAGCCTCTCCCCACAAATCTCTCCGACTATACCCAACCAAACGACTATAATACAACAGCAAGCAGCAGCCGTTGCCGCTGCCGTACAACAACAACAGCCACAACCCCCACCACCGCCGCCGCCACAGGCGCAAGTAGTGCAAATCGCTTCCGCCGCACCACAGTATCAACAACAATTCCAACTTAGTCCCGGCATACAGGGCATTGTGGTCAATAAGCCAGCTGCTGCCACGACAGCACAGCCACAGCAAATCATCTTACAGAATGGTCAAATCATACAACCAATGAATCTTATTGGCCAGCAATTAATTGTGCCCACTGGCTTGGTGATGGCTCCCGATACCACACTATTGCAAATACAGAATGTCGGTGCTTGTGGACCAAGCATACTCACTACCACACCACAGGGCACAACAATGATGTTGCGCACACCCTCACCCCAAAACAAACAGTTCATCTCGCCCACAGCTGCTGGGCAACAATTCATTGTTGGCAGCAATGGGCAATTGAGTCCAATTGGACAAATTTATTCGACACCAATGGGTTTGGTAATGCCGACGGCGCAACAACAGACCGGCACAGCTACCTATGTGCAACAGAACGCAACCATACAAGTACAGCAGCAGCAGCAGCAACAGTCACAGCCGCAGGTGCAGTTACAACAGCACGTGTCGGCACAACAGCATCAGCAGCAGCAGCAACAGCACCAACACGTCACCATACAGCCGGCAACTGCCGCTATGCAACATCAGCAGCAACAGCTTCAACAACAGCAACAACAACAACATGTTACAATGTTAAGTTCGTCCGAACACATTGTTATGGAATCGGCAACATCGTCCTCCGCGACCACTACATCAGCGTTAACCTCGTTAAGCCGCAATGGTCAACGCTCGGCTGCAGCCAGTCCACCGGACACCACTACACACAGTCCACGTAGCCCTGAGCGGCCTCCAAGTCATCGTAGTGGTGGCAGTGATATGGTTTGTTGCGCAAATATTTTACATTTTTCTCACATTCAATTATTTACAAATCTCTTTACAATTCCCTTCCTCCCTCATCGTAGGTGCAATGTGTATCCAGTTCGGAGCCGGACGGTGCTGCCTCACCGCAAAGTACTGACAGTCGCCAATCTCCATCGACTACGGATGCTGAGAAAGGTAAGTGTGAAATGAGAGAACTGCGCACTGCTAATTAAGCAATATTCATACTGAGCGTATATAGCAAGGTAGTAGGAAGTAGGTAGGAATGGTATCTGAAACGCTTGAAGCACCAATTTAATATAATAATTCAGAAGTGGCATACAAATAGACGACTTGCGCATGGAATTTGCACAGTTAGTAAGATGAGGAGAGCGCAAGAGATGTTGACTACCTTATAGAATGCTCACATGGCAGTCCTCATGATCTCTTTTACCCTTTAACCTCTGATGGACTCACAATACTCACTACTGATAGCTTTTCTTAGTTCTCCTTTATGTTCAATTCTGGTTCCAATATATTAAACGATTCTGATGCGAAAGCTTCTTAATTCTCCTTTCTTCACGATTGTACCGTATATCCACATGAGTATTGTTATCACTTGCCGAGTAATCCGGGAAATCTCGCATTTGGTGGAACGTATAGTTTTTCTTTAAGCCGCCTCCAGGTACCCTGTGCAATCGTATTTCGAAGAATTTTTCCACTGTCTTTGGATGTTAGTCTGGCCGCGATTTGAACCGATTACCCTGCAGTGCGTACGCTAACTGTAACTGATGTAGAAGGCTATGAAAATGTAAATGAGCTGCAATACGGCATCAACTACCTCAAACCTTTCTACGCCTAGAACTGTTATATAAAGTAGTGGCCCATGGAGTAAAACGTTATTTAGGCTCTGGGACACTTCCTTCGTAGGACGCACCACCAAATCATCTGAACGATTGATGGATTTCAATGAAGTTAATAACCCATAAAAGTCATCATCACAACTAAGGAAAGACTTGATAAAATATTTATTTAGAAGTGGTTCACTGAGCTTCGTTGTGATTATAAAAGTGATGCCGAACATTCAGGTAGCTCAAAAGAGGACGTCACGCTAGAAGTCGTCGACAAAATCAGGGAAATGTTATTGGACGTCCTGGGAATAGAACTGCGTGAGGTGCCTGATGTTAGACATTGAAGTGCTATACGCGCGGAATGTACCTCGTTTACTTACACACGACCTTTAAAGCAGCCGTGTGACCACTTCATGGGAGTGTTTGGCGATGTTCAACCGCAATCCAAACGAATTTTTGCTCCGTTTCATTATCGTGAACGAAACATGAATGTACCACACCACACATCAGAGACCAAAAAAACCCCTGCGGGATAGGGGTTCTTGAACTTATCGGCGGTAAGGCATGCCTGTCGTAAGAGGCGACAAAAATCCAATAGTTGCCGCGACAGTCGGGTCTTTATACCAGCACGAACCGAGTTTTTAGCCGGCCAAGAACTGTCACTCCCGCAACATTCGCCAAAAACTGTTTTGAGGAATATTTTTGCGGTTACAGCAACAACAACGGAGACTAAGGAACAATCACGGCAGTGGGTGTATCTGGGTGAACTTGCAGAAAAGAAGTCGAAGATGAGTTTGTCAGCCAACAAGGTAATGGTCACAATTTTTTAGAATGCACGAGTTGTCGATTACCTTGAAAAGGGTATCACCGGCGAGTATTATACAGAACTTTTGGAAAGATTCGATGTTGATTTGAAGCAGAAACGACAACATTTGGCGTAAAAAAGTGCTGTTCACTGCTACTCCATCTAACGTATTCTCGAGATTTACTCCCTTGTGGCTTCATACTTCTTTCTAAAACTGAAGAAATGGCTGACCGGCAAGAAATTCTGATCGCATGAAGAGGTCAAACAGAACAAAAATAAACGCTTATTTTGAGGGAGTTGAATCTCCCATTGCTTGAAGAAATACAAAAATTACATAGAACTAAAATAAGACTTTGTTGGGGAATAAACGTTCATTGGCCGGAAAAAAAAATATTTTATTGAAATTACTTATGAAATCCGCCTCGTCGTTGGTTGCATAAAAAACTGCCCCACACAATATTAAAATCGTATATTCTGAGTATGAAATGCTTTAAAATGGACACCTAATGCGCTCATAAAATCATCAGTTAACCACTTACAACGCTCCACACGCGCGCCCACGCAACTTTTTGAAGCACTCAAACACGCATTTATATGCCTATTTGGCTCATACTCGGCCTGCGAGTCGTGAAAACAGACGCATAAAAATCGAAACGAAAATAGTAAATGTAACAATACCAAAAGGAAACCAATAAAATATCATGCAAAATCCTTGGGGCATTTTTATGTGGCACACTCTGCCACACTCTACAGTTGCGCTTACTCATGCGTACATATTTACCTTAACACACTTGCACATAAATAGTAAATACTTCGAACATATTTTCCCCGCGCCCAGCTTGTGGCTGAAACAAAAATAAAAACGATATCCACACATTTTATGCTACTCGCACATTCACTGGAGAAATCAAGACGTTAAACGCAACATTAAATTCCAATCGACATTTATACGCGCGCACGCAAACTAAGCCGAGCCGAGCCGAGCAGAGCTGAGACCTGGCTATAGTGGGTTGTGGCAGACAAAGGGAGAAACGCTGAAATGACTAAAAGACTTAATATTTTATAGTAGCGAATGAGAAACGGGTGAGGATGAGCATGAAGCATAGAATCGTTAAAGTAAGTAGGCTCGTAAATTGTACGCTCTATTAGCTGTTGCTACAGCTGAGGACAACGCTGAAGGCAGTCAGCGGCAGTCAAGCAGACGACAGGCAATACCACCACCAAAAGCACCAACAGTACCAACAACGTACAAAATCTGCTGAAGTGCACAACATTAAGGTGCCTTTAGGCTAAAACTGGCTCAAATTTCTATGTATCTAAGCAGTTATTATATCGGCTGAGCTTATCCTGCCCGCAATCTATACGAACACATACTGCTCATCGTAAAAGTGTATAGTAAGAAAGCAATGCGGGATGGGGGGGGAACACATACGCGAATGGAGGTAAAAATGAAATATCAGCACTTTTGATTGCCATGGCACTTTCTGATTCGATCAGCGTTTACAGATTTATATAATACCATTCAATACATTCAACTCTCCTCTCTCCTCAACATTTGTATGTATGTAAAGGGTTTTCCAATAAGCGGTGTGTTATTTTGAATAGCCTGCTACTCCGGGAGATGCCTCTTTTGAGGCTGTAATTTTTTGGCATTTCAGAAGTAAAAAACTACGCCAGTGATAGAAAAGAGAACGATACGTGCTCCAACAACGCATTGAAATTATTTGAAATTCACTATAAAAATTAAGAAAACCTGGCAGAGATGGTTCGTAAAACTTATTCGGTCGTGCTTCATCCTTGTCGGGCCAAAATACAAAAATTGGGGGAATAAATCAAACTCTTGGTGAAAGTTTGTGATTATGAAGTGTGGCCCAAAGTGTTGTAGAAAGCCCAGGTTTATTCCTTCCTCCTCGTTCTTCGGAATTGGAAATTCCACAAACATTGTTGTTGTTGTTGTTATTATTGTTTTTGTTATTGTTATTGTTGTTGTAACCGCAAATTATTCCCCGAATTGGTTTTCGAGGAATATTGCGGGAGTGACAGTCCTTGGCCGGTTAAAAATCCGGGTCGTTCCGGTATAAAGACCCGACTGTTGCGAGAACTATTGAATTTTAGTCGCCTCTTAATCCGCAGGGGTCATTACACCGTATTTTGCATAATGACTCGGGTCTTAAGGCTCATAAAGTTTAGCTATCACAGCAACTCAAGCCGGCCGATTATCAACAACGTTGTGTCTTTGCTAATTGGATCCTTGAAAAGCATGAAAATGATTCGGAATTTCAACAAAAATTCATTTAGATTGTTGAGGTCCATTTCCACTTCGCTGGCAACGTCTATAAGCAAAACTGGCGCATCTGGGGCATACAAGATTTATTGTTGAAATTCCTCTGCGTCCATACATGGTTAACGTGTAAATCTTTGGTGCGGTTTATGGTCCGGCGTGGTCATTGAACTTTATTTTCTCGAAAATGTAGGAATTGCGCTATCGAGAGGTTATTAATGATTTTTCATAGCTAGAATTGGAGGGTATTGATTTGAGCACCTTCAACAAGACGTGTCACAGAAGCAACGAAACCAACGATCTTTTAAGGGATAGATATGCTTGAGTATCAAAATAACACCTCTTATTGGAAAACCCGTTATGTGTGCACACATCTTTTGGTCCTTCTACTTACACATAACAATTTACGCTTGCTTTTATAATAATAAATTTTATATATATATACAAATGTACATATATACAAATGTACATATATACGTATGTATGTATGTATATGCTTTTACAGCGTTTTAGCACTTAATCGACTTTTCATATTTTCAAATTTTAACTTTTTCTCTGTTTTCTCCGCTCCTCCATCATGGTGGCTTACATTTCCAATGTCATCGTGTACAATCAGGACTTGTCACGTCAAACGCATATCAAACCACAAATATTTACAAACCCTCAGAAGCGAAGATACGGCGTGTGCAAACACCGCCACAGAGTGCTAGTGCTGGAGGTGGTGGCGTTATGAACGCAGCAGCTGCTGCTGCTGCTGTGGGTGGAGGTGGAAGTGGAGGCGGTGGTTATACAATCGGCTCAGCTGCGACGTCAACAGCTTTGGGCACAACATTTCAACTGCAACAACAGCAACATCATCTACAACAACAACAACAACAACAGCGTCAGCAGCTACTCCAGCACCAGCATCAGCAACAGCAGCAACAGCAACAGCCAATACAACAACATCACTCACTACATCAAGATCTCGCAATGAAACCAGATTCGCACGGTAAGTAGTCAGCCAACAACTGAACAGCAGCAGCACTCACCTAATTCACAGGTGCAAAGCTGTCACAACAAATTTTACTCACATTTAAACATATTGTTGATACTCCTAATGTTGTTGTTGTGAAAGTGAATTAAATTTTCGCGCTCGACTAATCAAATTTGTGATTCTACTAATAAAGTGAAATGCGAAAATCTCGATTTCATTTCACCAATACATATAAACATGCAACATTGTAGACTAACACAAAGCAAATACTAACAGGCACATAACACACACGCACACGCACACGCACACACACATATATTCACACTCAAGTTTCACAAACGTCTATTTAAAATGTATTGGCTTGTAGAGTAACATACATACATACATATGTAAATATATTTTTAGCAAATATCCTTACTCATTTCACATCACTTTCCTCACCAGTGTTTCCTCACAGCTTTGTTGGTGATTGGCATATTTTTGTTTTCATTTACATTTTCTTACATCTTTTTCATCTATTGTATACTCTTATCTTTATATATATGTATGTACATTTATGTATTTACCGTTGCATTAACATAATAACTATGTATACATCATTGTTCATATGGCAGGCATTACGCGCAAAATCACATCAAATCGTCTTATACTCATAAATACTAATGCATGTCAAACCATCTGAAAGCAGTTAACTAAACATAGATACGTGTATGTGCATATCTACGATTGGGTATATTTATTTTTGTGATATTAACTGTTAGAACGTACGCAAGACGTATGTGTGTCTGCGTTTATGCATATCTTTGGATTGTATCTAAGCCGTGGACGGTGCGCTGATGCGAAGTATTGGGTTGCCCAAAAAGTAATTGCGGATTTTTTAAAAGAAAGTAAATGCATTTTAGAATGAACTTTAATCAAATATATAATTGCCATTTTGTTCGATAGCCTTTTGCCATTTTCCTGGCAAATTTAGTATTCCACGCTCATAGAACTTCTGGCCCGATTTTATAGCCTCATCATTGCCGAAAGTTTTACCATTTAAGGAGTTCTGCAAAGATCGAAATAAATGGTAGTCTGATGGTGCAAGGTCAGGGCTATATGGTGGATGCATCAAAAGTTCCCAGCCAAGCTTACTCAGTTTTTGGCGAGTGACCAAAGATGTGTGCGGTCTAGCGTTGTCCTGGTGGAATATGACACCTTTACGATTGACCAATTCTGGTCGCTTGTCCTTGATGGCTATATTCAATTTGTCCATTTTTTGACAGTAAACATCCGAATAAATCGTTTGGTTCCTTGGAAGCAGCTCAAAATATACGACACCCTTCCAATCTCACCAAACAGACAGCATAACCTTCTTTTGGTGGATATCAGCTTTTGAAGTGGTTTGTGTTGGTTCACCATGCTTGGACCATGATCGTTTTCGACTAACGTTGTTGTAAACAATCCATTTTTCATCTCCAGTTATGATTCGTTTTAAAAACGGATCGAATTCATTGCGTTTAAGCTGCATATCACAAGCGTTGATTCGGTGTGTTAAATGAATTTCTTTCAATACATGTGGTACCCAAATATCAAGCTTTTCACCAGTCCAAGACTTTTTATGTGATAATGAACGGTTGATTTTGGTATATTTAACTTCTCTCCTATCTCACGCTCAGTTACATGACGATCCAATTCGATTAATGCTTTGATGTGGTCATCATCAACTTCATTTGGCCGACCTGAACATGGCTCATCTTTAAGTAAAAAATCTCCAGAACGGAATTTGCAAAACCAATTTTGACACTGTCTTCCTTTTAAGGCTTCACATCTCGTAACTTTTTAGCAACCTGCTCCGCGTTTTTTCCTTTGCTCCTTTGTGGGCTCCATATTAAAATTGACGCCAAACAAACAAATGTAATCGAAATTTCGCGCTGATAACTGACAGAAGAAAGAATGCAATTACAGAGTCACAAGCCGTTGAAAAAATTTGTCAACGCCGACTATATGAAAAACCCGCAATTACTTTTTGGGCAACCCAATACAATAAAATATCGATTTCTTTGAATGTGTGTCCAATACATACCATCTTCTTCTTCTTATTATTATTATTGTGCTTCTTTTTACTCTTGTTCTTGTTCTGCTTCTTCTTCTTCATTATCATCATCAGCTTCACTGGCGTAAGCATTTTTTTATGCGATTATAGCCGAATCAATAAAAACGTGCATTTATCCCTTCTCTTCGCTGTTTGGCACCAGTTGGAAATACCAAGTGAAATCAGGTCCCTCTCGCGCTGATCCTGCCAACAAAGTGCAGTTCTTCCTCTTCCTATGCTTCCATCGGCGTGTACTGCATCGAATACTTTCAAAGCTAGAGCGCTTTCAGTCATTCGAACCTCATAAACTATCCAGCGTAGCCATTGTCTCTTCTTCAATGCCATCGTATAACTCGAACAGCTCATCGTTTCATCGGCTGCGGTATTTGCGGGTAGGACCATAAATCGCTCGGAAAACATTTCTCTCGAAGACTGTCATCGAATGTCGACATTGTCTTCGCTTCTATAAGATGTAGGAGGGTGGGCTGACGAGTGCGTTGTTGAGGTTGGCTCTGGTTCATCGAGAGAGAACTTTAGTTTGTAAATAATTGCCTACTCAGTCCAAAGTAGCACATGTTGGCTGTTGAGTGGTTCTGCGTTGAATTTCAATAGTGACATTGTTTTTGATGTTAATGCTGGTATTTAGATAGATGGGACTATCTACGACTTCGAAGTTACGACTTTCAACAGTGCAGTGGGAGCCGAGTCGCGAATACGATGACTGTTTGTTTGATGATAGAAGTTGTTTTTATGTTGTCCTTGCTTACCACCAGATTCATTCGCTTCGCTTCTATATCAAGTGTAAAGCAGAACTAATGGCGCGGTTCTTAGGAACCTTACGTTAGCTGATACATCTGAGTAACTTAAGTTTAGCTGGACACTATAAAATTGGTGTACGAGGCTTCACAAAGCTCTCCACTAAGATCTAGACACTTTTTCATGGGTTTAAACCGATTTTCGAAACACTTTGGCCACGCTGATTGAGATATCCTCATAAATTGCGCTACGTACCAACTTCCGATTCTTCTGTTGTCGAAAAACGCAGAGCTTTTAAGTTTAATTTTTACGTAAGGGCATAAAAAGAAATTATTCGGAACAAAGTTAAGACTATACGGTGTAGGACTTATCAAGTAGGTGTTTCGAATACTCAAAGATGCAGTTCTTTCAGTCGATATATCAGAGTTCGCATTGTCGTGGCTGGTTTTCCTGATTTCTTAAAAGACAATTAGCAATAAAAAAGGCTTGCTTGCAAGTTGCTGGTGGAGAAGGTTTTAAAGATTATCGGACAAAAAAATGAAATCATAATGAGACAGATGATTTTCAATACTATTGAAGGGATTTGTAAAAGAACTCTGCTTGTTTTTTAACGACGAACCCAGCGAACTCCAGCCAAGCCGACCGAGGGGAGTTTCTGAGGTATAATGGAAAAACAGAAAAAACAGACCGGGTTGACCTGAACCTGAAACCGATCACGGAAAGTTGCGATTACACTTGCCTCTTACACTAAACAGCTACAGATTTGTACATCAGCTGCTTTGAAATTGCTTTGAAAAAAAGGAGAAGGAATTTATTTAAATATTTAAGGCACTCAGTAAGTAGGTTTTGAAACAGAAAAGCAAGTCAGAGAAATCAATGTTGGCGAACTGTGTATTAAAATCGTTACACGAAGATCTTCAAAGTTTGTTCTGCTTGACCATAATGAAAGTGTCTAGATGATCTTAAAGGGATGGCATAAAGTTGAGCTCGCTAATGGAATAGGAATGGGCTATTGACTGTGGAGTATAGGTAGAGGAACGAGCCGTTCGCCACTATAGTAAGAAGGCAGTTTCTTATTCGCTTCGCAGTTTAGGATTCGAAAGATTTTCTGGAGAAGCACATATATTTGCAATTATTTAAATTTAGGGACACACAATTCGCATCACACCACCTAACTAAATTATTTAGATCGAGTTGCAAAAGTCCTCTATCTTCAATGGAATGAACTGATTTAAAGAGCTTGACAACATCTGCGTAAATCAGCACTTTAGAATGAAGAACCCCAATTGGAAGGCTCTTGATGAATATAAGGAAAAGTAAAGAAGCAAAGTGACTGCGTTGAGAAACACCAGATGTTACTGTTATTTCACGTGATTTACAAAATTTAAAAATTACTTTTTGTTTTCTCCCAATCAAGTACGATGAAATCCAATTGGGAAAGGAAGGTGCTGTACTGTCTCGCGTGGCTAAAGAACAACTCTCTCCACTACTTTGATTTTATTTGATTTTCATTTTTTATGCTACATATCCTGCGGAATATTCCCATAATTGTATTAGTCAACTGTTAATTCCTTACGTCGATGACTGTCTGCTCCGAAAAAAGGCAGCTTATAACATTAATAATGGTTTAATACTATTACATATTTATTATGCATATCCTTGTTGCGTTTATAACAACAATGCCATTTATGAAATTATTCAATTATGCTTTGAAGCATTGAGAATCCGGCTACGTGCACAAAATAACTTATAAGTAGCTCAATATGCTTACAAATCATAATTCCGAATATGGTTGTAAATACATATGTATATATACGAGTATATAATGCAACACAAATAAGATGTACAGAAATGTTATGTGTTTTACGGGCACAACTACATACATATATATTCAGCGTATCGCCATTGTATTCCATCAAAAAGCTTTCTTCATCTTCAATTATTCCACTTAAGTTATTCTCTACCGTTAACAACGTCAATACAGGGTGCTTTCCTAGACATGTGGTTTTCAAGATCAAATAAAATGCATATTATTTAATGTTTTAGCTAGGAATTTAGCTTTAATAAAAAAATCAGGGTCTGCCAACATTCTCTGTTGACAATTCACTTCACATAACTCCACAAAAAATAGTCCAGCGATGTTAAATCACATGATGTTGGATGTCACGCCACAGGCCCACGACGCGAGATAATGCGCTCAGCAAAAGTTTCCTTCAATAAATTGATTGCTTTGTTGGCTGTGTGATATGTAGCGCCGTCTGTTTGGATGTCAAAGATCGTCCAAATCAACATTTTCCAATTCAGCCACGAAAAAGTCATTATTCAGACGCTCTATAGCCTTCCCCAAAGCGTGTAGCATTATGGACGGCTTTATTTCTGAAGAAATTTACATAGTTCTAAGATTCTCCCTGCTCATAGAACACACCAAAAATGAACGTTTGAGGATGTAATGGGCATCTCAACACCTCAATAATGGTTTTTGTGAATTATCTCACTCCTAATGAGACAATTTCCTTTCGAAAATCCCGATCGATGGCCATTACGTTTTTGACCCATTCAACGAATGTACGCTGGGCTTTTGATGGTCGTTCTTATGGATTCTTATGGAGTTGGATTTTGTAAGGCCGTAAACTAAAATTCTTCCGCAAAATCTTCAATAGAGTGGATGAACACAGCTCCAGTTGTTGCACGCAATGGCGGATAAACCCCTTCGGAACTTCTTCGATGCTTTGTACGTCATTTCTCAGAATTCACATTATTCATTAGAGTAAACGGGGTGCAAAACCGATAATTTGTTTCTCGATTTATTGACTCTACTGGACGATTTGCAAACGTTGTTCCGTAGTTAGTCTGTTCATTATGAAATGACAAGCCAACCTGAATACAAGTAACAGCTGTCAGACAGACCGAAAATCGGATTAGGGATACAAGAATTTAGCCGTGGTAAGGCATGCCTGACGTAAGAGGCTACTAAAATCCAATAGTTCCCTCGACAGTCGGGTCTTTATACCGGAACGAACCGGCCAAGGACTGCCACTCCCGCAACATTCCCCAAAAAGTACTTTGGAGAATATTTTTGCGGTTACAACAGCAACAACAACAAGCGAAAAGCGTGTTGTCTCATTAAAAGCTACAAGTCTAAAAAACACACCCTTTATATATTTATATAATATAAAAAAATCGTATGTTCGTTTGTAGAGATCCGTCAATCGTCGAAAGCTACCGACCGATTACCCTTTGTCATGGCATTCAAAGTAGAAATTAGCTGGTAAACGATGTCGGGCTGCATTTAGGGCGGAGCAGTGACAGAGGTAATGCTCCACCCTCTCCTACTCGCCTTTGCCTCTGCAGCCGTGACAGAAGTTATTAGAGCAGCAACCCATTCTACTACCATGAGACCCCATCAAACAGTGTCCAATAATTACGCCGGTAGTTATGCTCGTGGAAGTTTTATTTAGAAGAAGTGGAGACTTACCGTGGTTGGGATTGTATCTTTTCTTGTTACCTCATCGACTTTGCAATTTTTGGGTATACCACTATGTCGGGAGACCCAAACCACGGAAGTTTCGCATAAAGCCGGAATTTGTTTAAGATTTCCTCACATTTTATTGCCACCTATGAGAGGTTGGAGTTACAACAAAGACATTTAATGGCAGCTTGATTTGTCAGAATATATTAGGATAAGTTGAGCTCTAGTGGCTCGGAAGTCTCTTGCTCATGTCCATTGCAAGCGGGTCCCTGTCAACTCGTTTTTTTAAGCTGGATACGTATCTTTGATCCGAAAAACCTTAATTGTTTCAAATAAACTTCGAAAATTTTAAATGTTGCTCGAACTAGAACTCGCACTCGCGAACTTCTGCATGGCAGTAGGTACTGCTAGCCACTCGGCTATTGCGGCCGCGTACATATGCTCGCAGTACTTCATGTGAATAATAAATATGTATAACTAAACACCAACATTTAACTGAAGACATATAACTGAATACATCCACATGTAATCCACGGTGATGGCTTTTACACACATACATACATACAAAAACATGTGATTTCACCTAATTTCATTTTCATCATTCACTTATGAATTCATTTACACAAATTAACTGTTGTCATCTCGTTCTTCATTGGCCTAATACTAAAAAAAAACAAAAACAAAAACAAAAAGCGTAATTAATTTTTAAACGCTATTGAAAAGAATTTAACCCGAGATCAGTCGTCCATCTACGCTAAGCATAAGCCACTTGATGTTTTATTTATTTCAAATAAAATTACTTAATTAATTCTTAGAGTCACCGAGAAATTCGCCAACGACTACAACCACGACAATAACAACAACACCACCACCACCACCATCAACACCAACACCAACAGCGTTACCACCGCCTGCAACAACAATCGCAGCCAATCGCAAATCACCACAGAAGACACCAAACAAATTGTTACGTGTACGCAATACACGCACCGCACGCACCACCAAAGTCATCAATATGACCGAATCGGCTGACAGCACCGCAGCGGCATTAACGGCAGCAACGGCGAGTACTGCACCAACAACACCGCCGTTTACTGCAACACAAACATTCGCAATTGGTGAATTGATTTGGGGTCCATCACGTGGTTATCCCGCTTGGCCGGGCAAAGTGGTACAAGTGGACATGGACGAGCAGCAGCCGCAGACGGCGAATGGTGAACCGGCCGTTTGGGTGCAGTGGTTTAGTGGTGGTGGCCGCATTATAACCGAACTGGTTGCAATCACATCGTTGCACAGTCTCTCCGATGGTCTGGAGGCGCATCATAAGGCGCAGAAAGATACTAGAAAGTGAGCACACACACGTTAGGCTTAGACTTAAAATGCGTTTATTCGTTAAGAATATTTTATTTTACGGTATATACAAAATTTAAGAGTCAGGTTTTGTTAAGTACACGTAATACAGAAGATCGGTGGCTTTTTATCCCTGTTTGGGGTTTGACTAAAATAGTGGAGGTTACAATTCATCGGTTATTAAGCAAAGAAAACAAATATAATTTCAATAAATAATTTTTATTATTGAATATTTCGCCCAACTGCTGGAGCGATTATCTGTCGAGCTCCTTCTCCAATTTGTGGTTTTACGTCTTGATGTTTTACTAACAAATGGAGGGACCTACAGTCTATACTGAGCCGCCTCCGAAGGGCTAATGGTTTTTTATGAGAAGCTAAGGGGTGATTTCTTAGCTATTATCTTTTTGGCAACACTGGTTTAAACTGCTGACGCACGTTTCGTGGTTTGTATAACTGACAAACCGCTTCAGTTTGGTCTATAATTTAACCATGATTTGTCTTACAAACGAACAAGGCTTGTAAATTATTGAATTTTATTATCGAAATGCGTGATCTTTTCAGAAAGTTCAATTCATAAAGGGTGCGTAAATAAGTAGACTTGTCGATTTTGGAGTGTAGATCAGCCAGAAGCATTGCAAGAGCTGCCAATGCAACCAGAAAAAAACACACTTTGGTGCGTCTTATGGGCTGATGGCATAATTGGACTGTACTTTCTTAAAGATGATGCGAATCGTAACGTAACTGTGAATGGTGAGCGCGAGAATATCAAACTTTTTTTGTCCAAAATGCAAGTGCTTGACTTGCATGAAATGTGGTTTCAATAAGATAGTGCCACATGCCACACAGCAAGCGTAACATAGTGAACATTTTATTTCACGTTCGGGAGCGGTCAATCAGCCGTCCAGATCATGCGATTTAATACCTTTAGACTATTTTTTGAAGATCTATGTTAAATCTGATGTCTATACAGACAAGCCCGCTTCAATTGAAGCATTGGCGGACAACATTGAAGCATTTATTCGTGAAGTACCGGCCGAAATGTTGGAAAGTGTGTGCCAAAATTTGACTAAGCGGATGGACCATTTGAGGAGCAGTCACGGTTAACATTTGCATGAAAGATTTCATGAATTTTTCTGGATTTTATGCTCTTAAATGACCACCCTTTACTAAACCCCCTCCAAATGGCCAATGATTTGTATCATTATTTCATGTCATAAATACACTCGGAGGGGGCTTGGCCGTCGGATCAAAACGCGCACCAGACAGTCAGTTTTTTTTTGGTGTAATACGAAAACTTTTCCTTTTTACGTATCGCGAGAAATGTGCCTTGTCACTGAAGAAAATTACAATCGAAAAATCGCAGTGTCCGCTGCCTTCTTGTTCAAGCATCCAATCGACGTAGTTACAGCGTTGTAAATGATGTGCTGAACTTTATATGGATGCAGGTGTAAGTCCAAGTGCAAAACACATCACAATGTACAGTAGAAGCCTCCTGAGAACGTTGAGAAATAGACACATTCAGGTCTTCGGCTACACTTTCACTTACAGCAGCGACATTTGGATGTGCAACGAGCAAAAGGACAATGCACAGGCCTTACAATATCTGCATCCGTTCCAGTCTCTTCAAACTTCTTTAAAATTTTACCAATTGCTTGAGTAGTTGGATGCTTACGTGCACCATGATCTCATTTGAAAACACGAAACGTGGCCCCGTTTGAGTCAGCATTTGTGTAGAACAATCTTAACAATTTTAACGCGTTGTGAGGTGGTTAAGCAATCCCTTTTCATAATCTAACTCATACAAAACAAATGGAGGGACCTACAGTTTATACTAAGCCGCCTTTATATCATGTCGGAAATACACGCAGAGGGGTTGGCATTCCCTGCCGAGCGGCGACCGCAATTAGAAAATTGGATGTTGGATGTACGACACCACTCGGCTACCGCGGCCGACACGAAATGTTTAGCCCTATGTTATGAGATATTTTCTACAAACATTGGGCATTTATTACTCGATTCTCCCACAGTTTGTAGTTTAACTGAGGTCATATCAATGTAATTCCCCAAATTATCAGTTGTACAACTTTGCTTCCGCCACTTTTTTCCAAAATTAAAAGCTTTATTGCGAAAAAGTGCTTACAGATATATTATTCAAAGTATTGTCCTTCGCTAGCGACAACTTTCTCCTATCTTCGCGGCAATTTTCGGATCCCGTCCCAATTCTTCGAAGGATTGAAAATGTTGATCTGCCAGGCCGTGTGCCATCGAACGGAATAGGTGGAAGTCAGAAGGGGCGACATCTGGGGAATACGGCGGGTGGGGCAAGACCTCCCATTTCAGCGTTTCCAGGTACTTTATGACCACTTTTGCTACGTGAGGCCGAGCATTGTCGTGTTGGATGATGACTTTGTCATGTCGCTCTTGATATTGTGGCTGCTTTTCTTTTAGCGCGCGACTAAGGCGCATCAGTTGCGTTCGGTAGCGATCTCCTGTGATGGTTTCACCCGGTTTTAAGAGCTCGTAGTAAATCTTTGAAGGTTTTTTCTCTTCCACCACCATGTTTGTCTTCGACATCGAAATCACCATTTTTAAAACGTTGAAACCACTCCCGACACGTTCTTTCACTCAGAGCAACATCACCGTAAGTTTCTGAGAGCATTCGATGCGCTTCAGCTGCATTTTTTTTCGAATTGTAACATAAAAGTAAAACTTCCCGCAAATGGCGAGAATTAGGCACATAAACGGACATTTGCGAGCGTGAATAATACGAAAACAAGAACAACTGTCACTGAAACGGCGATGACAATTCGTTATTATCATCTATGTATTTCAACCAGCCTCAGCCGGTACAGCCACCTATCGGAAAACGGCGGAAGCAAAGTTGTACGTCGGATAAATATTTTGTAAAATTTAGGAATGTCGCTTTAGAAATTTTTATAATATTATGGGAGCAAAGCGAAGTCTGAAAATATTTATAATGTAGCGGAAAATCGAAATCGGAATGTTTAAAAAGAGTACAAAAAATGTATTTACGATTTAGAGTTGATTATGTAAATGTAGATTTAATGAATTGCACGGATTGTTATTTACGCGAGCAAATATTTGATTAGAATTATATTTTATGCCGCTTTTAGTAATATTTGAGTGTTCTTTAGTTTATGAATAATATTTATTTTACTAAAATATTTATATACAAGAGTATAACTTATTTTAATTGGCATGCTGCACAAACTTGTTTAGTGATTTTTTATCTATGTTGACGTTTAAGGAATTAATTTCTTTTTCCAGTTTTTTTTTTCTTTTTTTTTTGTATTTTTCAACCTTCGGATCGGACCACTTTAGTGTAGATATATACGACAGATTTTACAGATTTCAGATTTTAAGTCATAAATTCGGTCAAAAATAAATCATATGCTCATTAGTGCGTGAAATTTGGTTTTCCACACATATCGAAACGGCTCTCTTCAGTTTTGTATAAGAAAATCTGTCAAAACGAATGTAAGAGAATGAAGGAGTTGATATTCTCCACGCATAAAGAGCGCTCTTTTAACACACATGAAGTACTCAAGCAGAAGTAAAACGCAAAACTTTACCTTTATCAAAGAGATAAGGATTTGTAATTCAGTTTTAAAAATGATTTCGTGCCCGTACGACCGACTCGAATAAATACCCTCCGAAAGGTTCAATTTTCGACTGCTTTTTTGCAGCATTTGTAGACGTGTGTCAGTACGAACCGAATATTTTCATTCAAGGCGTCAAATGTCTCAGGTTAACCTACTGAAGACAAGCGACTGCACATAACCCCACACAGAAAAGTCAAGCGATATTTAATCCCACGATCTTGGAGGCCCACGACGCGAGATAATACGCTCACCGAAAGTTTCCTTCAATAAATTGATTATTTCATTGGCTGTGTATGGCATGTTCGAGCGTCATATTGGTCGAACCAAAGATCGTGCACATGAACATCCTCTAATACAAACACAGAAAAGTCATTAATCATAGCCCTAAAGCGCTCCTAACTGGCTGAAACATTAAGCGGGCTTCATTTTTGAATAAATATGAACCAATGATTCCTTTGACTTCTATACACAGAGCATAACCAACAGAAACTTTTTGAGGATGCAACGATATCTACAAAAATAGCTTGCGGACTATCGTCCAAATATAAAAGTTTTATTTACAATATTAATGCACCCATACAATCAAAAATGAGCTTCATCGCTGAACAAACATTTTTTTGTAAAAATCGAGATCTGACGTTACGCCGTCTCAAGATCTCAACAATGGCCTGTGGATTATCATCACTCCAAAAGCAACAATGTTGTATATTAAAGTACCCACTCAACCCACACTGAAGTTTATTGCTGCATAATATTTTCATGTAAACATCGGGGTGGATGGCCATCTTGCTTTGAACCCATTCACGATGGCCGTTCGGTCGGCTTTAATTCTTGCTTGCGTTAGATTTTCTATGTCCGCAAACCAAGCTCCTTTCACAAAGTCTTCTATAAAGTATATAAGCACAGCTCCAATGACCGATGGACTCATACTCTGCTCCACAGCAGCTATAGCGTCCTCGATGTGCACTGTACGGCCTCACTGACCATGCGCATTATCCACTAGAGTAAACGTGGTACGAAACCGATTCATGCTTGCTCGTGTTAGCTAGTCTGCTGGGTGATCATGCGGATCGAATATTGGATACTGAATGCAACGCGCTGCGCGAAGCGAACCATTATTTTGGGTAATAAATTTGCACGATTTACAAATGTTGTTCGGGAGTAATCTGTTCATGGTGAAATGTCAACGGTATGAAGTACCAGCTGTCGGAAAGCCTAACTCCGTAAAAAATGTTGTCGCATTGAAAACCACAACACTAAAAAACAACATCTTTTATACCTAATCCTTGAATGGAATACCATAAATTCGAAATGGTCATAAAAGGTTTAAAAACTTCGGCATGACCGAAGACAGCTCTTTTTTCTTGTCTTTTTATTTTTATTTATTTATTTGTTTTTTTTTTTGTAGCATCTAGTACTTAGAATAGATTATATGTTATGTATGTACGTATGTATGCATTTTTTAAGTACTTTTTAACTAAAATAATATTAGTTGTGATTTAGTTTTTTCCCCTTTAAATTACTAAAAAAACTTTTTTACTTTTAAAATCATAATTTTAAAGGTTAATTTTTTTTAACCAGAAATTTATATTTTTAACAATCAACTAATATTTTTTTATGTATTTATAAGTATTTTGTTTTTTTTTGTAGTTGTATTTTATATTTTGTATAAATATGTATTATTAATTAATTAATTTTTTCTTTATTCTTTGTTGCTTCATCTACTCCTACCACCAATCTGCTGTGTATGAAATCCCGTCAATGTGATTATTTATGTATCTATGTGTTTGTGTGTAAATGTTGAACGTATCCACCAAAAAAAACCAACAAACAACATAAATCAATCGTCATTTACAACTACAACAACAAAATAATCCTACCACAATATTACCCAATTATGAAACCAAAAAAAAACAAAAAAACAAAAACAAAAAACACACAAACACAAACACGTCACACATACCGTTAATTGGCGAACCACATTTGCGAAAATAAAAACATGAAAAAATGTTGGCAAAAATACTTTATGCCAACAAAAAAGGAGCCGAAAATTAAATTCACAACTTGAGCGCGCCATACAAGAGGCAATGACCGAATTGGATCGTATTTCAGCTACTTCGACAACAACAAACACGACAACAATTGCTAATGCAACAGTCGACGGAAATAAGCAATTGCAGCAGGCGACAGCAACATCGACAACAGCAACAACCACAACGGCACCACTAAACAACCAAAACCACAACAACAACAACAACAATACGAACAGTCCAAATCGCAACAAGCGCAACAACAGCAACAATTCTATGCAGCGTGCAGCCAACAACAACAACAACACAGCCACCGGCATTGGTGGCTATGCAATTGTGCCAACATCTGGTGGACCAACTCATGCCATATCCACCACAAGTGCACAGAACAGCTTTACCGCACCGCCAACAACAGCAACAACGCCACGCAACAAGCCAATACGTATAGCACCAGCACCAGCGCCACAAAATGGCTCGCCCAACAAAAACACAACGGGCGGAGCCACGTCAATAGCGTTCAATCAAGCCCAGCAACAACAACAACAACAGGCGACTACACAACAACTCTCGGCGTTGGGCAAATGACACGGAGAGTCATCATGCGCACAGGTCTCATGGTCCATGCAAACCTATACGCTCGTCATACACAATAAATAGTCGAACGCCAACGAGCAGTTGAGTGTCTCGAAGGACGCTGAGTAGCGGAGTGTGGTGGACTGTATAGATTTGTGACTCAAGTGAGAACGGCCGACGGATCAGTGGCTCTGGTGTGGCTTTGTGCGTTCGATTCAAGATGTTGCGAAGAAGAAGAAGTGGAATTATAAATATATAAAACTTGAGTTTTGATGCCGTTGCACGTTAACTGTCAAGGTGTGAAATAGTAGAATACGTTAGTAAAGGAATTGAGAAATATATTATGGAATATCCATATACATATATACTATGCATATACATATTTATATGCGCTTTATTTAGCGTTTATTTGCACATTCTACGCATAATGCGTATAAAAATAAAAATAATAAAAATTATTTTTAAATTAAAAATATTTGTTTATGTAATAAATGCATAAATACATGCAGTATTATGCATATAAATACATATATATGCTAGTATGTAAAGATTAAAGTTATGTATAATTAAAAAAATAATATTTAATAAGTAAACAGTCACATATAAATGTAAAAAAAAAGTTATTGTTAATTATATAATTTTAATTAGTTTCCAACAAATTTAAAAATTTCAACATTTTTGGAAAATAAAATTATGAAATTATGTTTAATTATGAAATGTTATAAAAAAAAACCATGCTCACATGTAATTTGTGAAAAATTTAGTTGTTGCAACAAATTTCGTTAAAACTTCTCATATATACTTACATACATACGTATTTAATTGGGTGCATAACAACAGAAAAACCTAAACAATGCATATGTTTGTATGTATGTACATATATTTATATTTCTTTAAGAACATTTAAATAAATTATAAAACGAAAAAGTAAACAAACATATATATATATAAAAGTAAAATATAGCATTCAAATAAACACAATAATATTAAGTTCTTATTAAAGTCCAAAATCTGACTCAAAAAAAAAATCAAAAGTGAAAAAGTGTAAATAATAATTAAAAACAAAATATAATTAAAAAAAATGTATAAATAATAGTTTTTCTAGTATTTACTGCATTATAAGTGTACAAAAAAAATGTAACGAGCTACACAAAAAATTTGTTTTATTGCTCTAGCTACTGAGATGCATACAAGCAAATAAAAATAAATAAATAAACCAAAACGCTGAGAGATAAACAAAAAATTTATACATAAAAAAAATGATTTGCGCTTTCACTTTCCATAACAAAAAACTCAAGCTTAAAGAAAATACTAAAAAACAATAGTGCCAGTTTTTTTTGATTTCAATACAATTGTACATACATACAAACCTGAATTAATATTACTTGTTACTTACTTATTTACTTACATACTTAAAAACTAAGCTTTTCGCAAATATTTTTCACATTGCTACCACAGAATTTTATTTAATGCTAATAGACAATAAATGAAATAAGAAGAAGAGAACTTATTATTTTAATATTAAAAATGTAAACTTACATTTAAAATATTTATATAGACATACATACATACATGAAATTATTGTAAATGTAATTATACATAAATAAATATGTACTAATGAGCATTTAGTTGTATGCAGGTCAGCATAAAAATTATGAATATACATACATACTAATTATAACAAATACAAATATACGTAAAAGAAATATTAAAATGCTTACAAATATTTTAGATTTTATTTTATTATTAAACCAAATTATTTACACAACACTTTTTTTTCTTTTTTTTTTTTGAAAATTTTATATATTTTTTAGATACATTTTATTTTCTAAAAATATTGTTTGTTTGTAAATACACACATTGTTTTTGTTGCATTCTTTATTTAGTTTTACATACATATACATAAATATGTCAAAACAAAAAAAAAACAAAATTGAAATATTTTACTTAGCATTAAGCCATGGAAGAAGCTTAGCGCCATAAGGTACATACATAGTTTTAGTGGAAAAAAAAGAAAGAAAAAAAGTGGAAATTGCAGCGCTGATAGCGAACATTAATTAATAGTAGAAACACAAAACACATCACTTATATATATTTAAACACAAAAAAAAAACTAAAGAAATATTTAATATTGAAAATAAAATAATATGCATATGTATGTATGTATTTAAGATGCTAATAATCAAAAACAATGGTTAATCAAATGCAATAGTCTACACTTGTATAAGCAAGAGAATTAAAAATAATATTTACTCCGTTATTTTCAGAAATATAAAAACCAATACATACATACATACATAGTTGTAGAATAAAAATCAAAAAGTCACACACAAGCTACAAATAACAATAATTTGAAAAAAAAAAAAAAATAAACAAATTAAAAATAAAAGATTAACAACAATAAACGTTTTTTTTCTTCTTTTTTTTACAATATTAAACAATATTTCTTAAAAATTTATTTAGCATTAAATAGGAAAACTTTTTTTGATATTTGTTTTTTTTTCGAACAATTCCAAGCCACACCTGTACTGATTTAATTCTAGCATTCAAATGTATACGCAATTCTCTAAATTCTGTATTTTCTCACTTTATCTTTTTAGTCATTTGTTTATTATTAATTATTATTTTTTTTATGTTTCTAAGGGTTTTATATAGTAATGTGCTCCTAATTTATTATTCACTTATTTATTATTATAATTTTTAATTTTTTTTTATTTCCATTTCTTCAAAAAAATTATTATATTCAGTCTTAATAGCACGAAATACTTTACACTCAATTTTCTTTTATTTTTCTAATCCAAGTTAGATTTGAAAACTAATTTTTTACACATACATAAATGTACAAGGCTTTTAGAATGGAAGGTTACGACAACCATTGACGTCACAAAACCGACTTTGTCATATTTACTGTGGGTGAAACTTTATATTTACATTATCAAAAAAAAAAATTGCTTATATAGACCAGTTGAACCTAACCTAAAACTGAGCAGAACATTCTTAAATAAAAACTATAAACGCTTATAACGGAGAAAACATAAAATACATGAGTTTCTTCATAACATTTTAATTCATATTTGGGTTTTGAAATAAGAGATTTTAGCAGTAATTTTTTGAGATTTCACAAGTAAAAACTACGCCAGTGATAGAAAATGGAACAATATACGTACGAACAACGCATGGAAATTATAAAAAAATACTCTAAAGAATGGTGAAAACCTGTTCGGTTTCGGTTCATAAAACTAAAACATTTTTCCTTCGGCGTGAAGCACCTTGTCGGACCACTAAACAGAAATTGGTGGAGAAAATAGAGCTCTGGGGACAAGTTAGTGATGATGAAAGAATACAACACGAACAAGTTGCTGAAGAACAACTGACAATATTGCTGCTGTAGCCCAAAGTGTTAAAGAAAATCCAGGTTTGTCCAATACTTGCCGCTCTTTGGAATTGAGTCTTCCACAAACGTCATTACACCGTATTTTGCATAAAGACTTGGGTCTTAAGGCTTCTACAGTTCAGTTAAAACAAGAACTCAAGCCGGCCGATCATCAACAATGTCGTGTCATTGCTGATTGGGTCCTTGAAATGCATGAAATTGATCCGGAATTTCATCGAAAAATCAACTTGATTGATGAGACCCAATCCCACCTCGATGGCTACTTCAAGAAGCAAAACTGACACATCCGGGACTCGGAGAACACAAGATTTATTATTGAAAAGCCTCTCCATCCCGAACGTGTAGCTGTTTGGTGCGGTTTATAGTCTGGCTGGAGCAACAGTGTCGGTGAATGGATTGCTCTATCGTGAGATGATTAAGGATTTTTTATAGTCGGAATTGGATGGTATTGATCTGGACAACGTTTACTTTCAACAAGACTACGTGCCATAGCAGCAACGAAACTATCGATCTCTTATTGGAAACCCCGTTATTATAATAAGTCTATAAACCCATTATTAATGCAATGGTTTCAGCGATCTATATCTCGCGTTCTATAAGTGCCATTGGATTACGCTAGATGGCCTTAGTATGATTATTGGAGAAGTCTTGATTATATAACTCAATAGTGGTAGAGGTCAGGTCAAAGATGAAAAGCAACGAAGAGAAGACACGCTTGAAAATTTCAATTTCGGTTTCGTCAATTTAGTACCGGTAATTTTGATGTAACAGATGCTGCACTATGCGGAACGCCAATTGCCGAAAATGTCAATAAAATTTAATGGAAATTGTCTGACCTGGCTGTCATGCATTTTGATAGTGACTCGCCAGCAACTCCAAAAGCCTCATTGAGAGGTTCTTGTGCATCCACTTTATAGTCCAGATCTCGCACCAAAAGATTATCATCTCTCGTGGAGAAAAATTGACCTCAAGAGGAGCATTGGAAAGTTGATTCTCCCAATTATTTTTTCCAATAGCAGCAAGGGTTTCTATAAGAGAGGCATTATAACATAACCTTCAAATATTTGACATATGTAAATCGAATAATTCTTACTATGATAACATAATGGATTACTTTTTAATAGACCTAATATTTTTAGTTTTTTGATGAATAGAACTTTTCTTAATACTTTAATACTTCAAGTTTTCAAGCCATAAATTATATTATTTAATTTATATATATTGGGGCAGTTCACAAGAATTTCTACAATTTCGCCTTCTTGTTTCAGTTTTACATAAAAAAATTAATATTAATTTAATAAATAAATAAATTGTGTTTTATTCGCAAGATAGGGAACCAATCATTTCTCAAAGGCTTTGTATCTGTTAAAGAAAATATGCCAGAATCGGTTTCTGAAAATTAAATTTTTTTAAATAATGTATGTGCGCTAGATTTTTGAAACAACAAATTGCTAGCTAGAAAAGTTTTTGTACATAAATAATATTAATTTTTATAATTGAAATATTTTTAAAAATTAAAATACATTTTGATAATTGATAATTAAAACAACTTCGTCATTAAACTCATAATTTTGCTGTTGGCGTCATCTTATTCTTCATCAAACTTGACTTATGTGCATATTTATTATTATACTGTTTAGTTTTTGATTGTCAATATTTTTTTATTTATTTATTTAAAATATATATTTTATGCACTTTCTTATTATTTAATTGCTTAATAAATTTTATCTTCTAATTTACATTTCATATTTATCTTGTTTATTTTGAAAATACGTTATTTTAAAAAAATTAAATATTCTCCGTTAATTTCCTTATGCGTGGTTCTACTTTTCTGATTATCGTTGAAATAATCGTTAATAAGATATTTTACCGATTTGTATTTACAATAAATAAATTAAGAGCTTTATTGCTTGATTTCTAAAACCAAAACTTGTTATACATATGTTACCATATACTCGTACATATGTATTACAATATCATTTTAAACTACAGATTATACTTTAAATACGTACATGCATGTGTATGCATATATATACTTATCTTAGCTTCATAATTGGTAATCTAAAAAGAATTTGTTGTTAATTTTTCGATTTAGTTCATATTATTATTATTATAATTTTTGATATATACCTAAAAAAATGAAAAATTATATAACGGATACTCCTAAATACATGAACGAGTTAAATTTATGACTAAAACATTAAATGTGTCATCAATTAAATGTAAAGAAGAAAAAGCATACAAAAAATAAAGAAAAATATGCATATACAAAGAAAAATAATTAGTAATAAAAGAAAAGAAAATGTTTACCTTTTATGAATGCGCTTGCAAAACGCATAAGAAGAAGAAGCAAAATGAATGAATTGTATAAAATATTAAAAATCCAAAACACATAAATAAATTATTAATCTCGAAATAAATGCAAATAACCGAAATACTTACAATAAAATGTTTTTTAATTTTATTTTTCAAGGTCTAAAGGCTAAAGGACTAAACTAGTTTTTGTATTTTCTAAAAATTTGTATAACTGCTATATAACGGCACACAGGCATACCAGCTGATTGTCGTCAAAATGACCAACAGATGGTGCATTCGTTGTACAGTGTTGGCAAACAGAATTCTTTAAGAGGATTTTTCCATCAACTTTGATAAATTTCTCAGGAAGAACTGTTCGAATGCCAAGCTGTCGTTAGAAGAAGACTAATGTTGCAACTACCCATTTTACTTACCATCCGTCTATAACGGGCGATGGCAAAAGCCAGATGCATACACACTTGTGGACGGAGCTGAGAGCGGCGAAATGTTACCAGCTGCCAGTGTGTTTGCACACTTTTGAACAAATTCATAATTTTCGTCAACGAATTTCATGATTTATGTGTTCGAATATAAATGCAAATCAAATGTACATGACAACAAATAATTAGTCACGCATTTAGTTTTCATTTCTTTTGAAAACAAATTACAGATTATCTTCAATTACTTTAAGAAAGACTAGACTGGCAACTTTATATAGCAACGAGAAATGAGCCGAGCCGGTTTTATGGAAAAAATCAAATCGCCGCTGGTTTCTGCGGGACAACTGTCACTAACTGCTTGGGCAAGCGGTGGCAACTTTGTACGTGAGTTGGGTAGTTGCAGCATAAGACATATACAGCCCTATTCTCACTGTTACTGGTAAAGTAAATTTTGTTACTTTTTTTTAACACCCGAAATTGAATTTGGTATTCTGGCGAACTGGTTACAATGTTTGAAAAAAATTTGGCAGCACGGCTTTTTTCGTCCATGTCAAATTACATTGGCATGTTGATAAAGTAAAAAGAAAAATATTCACATCAAAATGGAAGACGGTTCATAAAAAAATTAAAAAGTTTTATTAATTTGTTTATTAAATCATAAATATTTGAACATAATTATGGAAACTATGCCTGGACAACAAAAAAAGCTGAATGAAAACGTTATCTTACATATTAAAGGGCTATTTTTTAGTCTCGATAACTTCTTAAAATACGGCTTTTTGCACTTTTTTCTTCATTTTCAATGAATTCCAGGCCTAGAATATGCCTACCCATTTTGGTTTTTTATTTTTTCTCAAACTTACAGCACAAAATCAAACAGCAGATATTTTTGTTACCTCCTATTTCGCTGGTAACAAAATTTACAGGGTGACAGTGAACTCAGAATACGAAATAGTAACAAAATTTACTGAATGGTAAGTTTTAATAGCAAAGTAAATTTTTTTACCTCGACAGAATAGGCCTGTTAGAAACCAATAAGCCGGAGCTCAATCTTATCAAATTAATAAGCCGCTCTGGTCGCCTTGGTTTTATACGGGGGCTAAAATTGTTCGGAATCAATTATTAGCTACCTAGTTAATGTTTCAGTTTAACTATTCACTCATCGTTCGAAATTTTAAAGTAATGCCCGTACGTAAGTTCAATCAGAGAATTTTCAAATTTTAGCTGGAGCTCGTTTTCGAGGTTTCTACAGTCTTGTTTGCTTTTTAGCCCCCATACTTCGGCAGTCACTGTTGCCAGCTGTTGCTAGATGCTTGAAATTAAAAAAAAAATTTTACTCCGAATGCGATATATAACCACTCTGTGACCATTTCTGATATGAAAATAACTGCCTGAATCCGAAGTAAATTTGTATGTTTCTCCTTTTATAGGAAAAAAAGCTTCGGATTTGTTCGTTTACAGAAAAAATTTAAGTAGAAAAGGAAGTTGTTATTTTCTTTAAACACGCAGACGGAATAGATGTAACGATGCGCCCAAAGATGCGAATGGGTTCTATGAGCAACTAGAACGCATCGACGAGTGCAGCTCACGTAACAATATCAAAATCGTGAAGGTCGATTATAATGCCTGGGTGGATAATCCATTTCCAGAATATTTGGGCAAATACAGGCCGCGCCAAGGAAAATCCCCAAGGCTGATCGACTTCAAACTGGCTTCAAACCTGGTTGTCTGAAGCACTAGATCGGCGCATGAATTTCCATCAAACTACATGGCTGTTGGTGGCCCAAAAATCATGCTAGCAAATCAGAATATTCAAGACGTAGCCTTACATATATATAGATATACTGTCTAAATGTACGTCGCTCTCAAATAAGTTAATTTAGTAAAAGGTCATCAAATTGTCCCCTCTTACTTTCTTGGGCGAGCTAAGCAATCATAAATTATCGAAAAGGAAATCACTCAGCTTTAACGATTCCAAACGTTCCTACAGTTGGAGTGGAGTAAAGTGCTTTACCCTGCTTCGACTGTCTTGTCATAGCGTCCAATAATGTTCTTACACGTCGCATAATTTAAATTTTGCAAAACAGTGTAAGCGAAGTCTCAAACCGATTGGTTTGTGCAGATTTTTGTACTTTCCACCACTAATTCTTTGATTACTAGCAAGCAAACAGCTGATATATAAAAACAGGTTTAGCAGGTAAACATTTTTTTCACAACTTTGTACTAATTCAGTCGCAGAAAAGATTTTGTTAACAGCAATTGCAAAATAAATAGTTGAAAAAACGAAATATTTAAAAGTATTGGAAAATAAACAAATTCTGCATCAAAGTAATTGTAATAAACAACAGCAAAATGGGTAACCAGCTGGTGGGCATTGCACCATCTCAAATTTACCCTATGGAGCATTATTTTTCAGGCACCGAGATTGTATTCGAATCAAAGTAAGTTTTTTTTAACAAAATTGTGAGCTTTTAAAATAGAAAACAGATCCACGTATAAACTTCTTTCAAACCACCCCTCTATAGTATGGGCAGTACACGATTTTTCAAAGTGGCCAAAGCTAAATCAGAGGAGGGTTTAATTGTTGTAAAAGTGTTTGTAAGACACGATCCAACGTTACCGTTAGAATGTCACAAAGAACGCCTGGAATATATTAAAAAGGCACTCGCGAATGCAGTTAATTGTCTGCCATTTCAAAGAGTTGATGTAAGTACCTAAGCTATATACATATATAGTATGTATTTAGCGAAAAAAATAATTTATCTATGCCACTCCATGTGTGCATATATTTATGGGCGTTTTTTTATTGTTTATTTATCTCGTTCTGTTTCCAAATTAGTTAACTGATAAGGCTGCATACATTATGCGTGAATTTGTGAAGCATAATTTGTACGATCGTTTATCTACACGACCTTTTTTAACGACGCTCGAGAAGAAGTGGATAACTTTTCAAATTTTATGCGCTTTAAATCAATGTCACAAGCAAAAAATTTGCCATGGCGATATTAAGGTAAGTAAAGCTGGTTAATCATAAACAAATATTGAAAATGCAAATAAAAACGATTTCATTCTCACCAAAACAGCTGGAGAATATTTTGATAAATTCGTGGAACTGGGTATTACTTTCGGATTTTGCTTCATTTAAGCCAACATATCTTCCTGATGACAATCCCGCAGATTATACATATTTCTTTGATACAAGCAGACGTCGGACTTGTTACATAGCGCCTGAACGTTTCGTAAAATCCTCCACATCTGACGATGCTGTGGAAGATCATGTCACCGTACGACCCACAGACTCACTTGCACGGTTAGGTCCTTTTATTTCAGATAATACACTGACACCAGCAATGGACATATTTTCTGCAGGGTAAGTTTGAAAATGACCGAAAACCCGTTTTCGATGAATTGCTGTTATCATTACTTTTTAGTTGTACAATATTGGAGTTATGGAACGACGGTACAGCTCCTTTTGAACTTTCGCAGTTACTCTCATATCGTGGCGGTGATACTGAGATTGTAAATAAGCATTTGGATAATATTGAGAATGATAACCTACGCTCCCTACTCGCCTCTATGATTAACTTACACCCAAAAAATAGAAAAAGTGCTGAAGATTATTTAGACCAAGAGCGTGGCCGCTTATTCCCAGAGTACTTTTACTCCTTTTTACAATCTTACCTGCAAATGTTTTCGTCCTTACCAATAATGACGCCAGATGATAAGATTTTACGTTTACATTCCGATATTGGGCACTGCATAAAAGTACTTACGAATGATCCAAATTTAACACCAGACGAAGATGAGGAGGTGGAGGCCGAACAGGCTGAAACTAAGCAGGTGTCCTGTGAACGTTTGCCTCCTGATCAAGATGGTTTAATTTTGATAATCACTGTTGTTACCTCTTCCATACGGGGATTGAGACAAACAAATACAAAAATTTGTTCACTTGAAATACTGCATAGAATATGCAAGTATACAACTTCAGATACGATTTTAGATCGTATATTACCTTATATAGTAAGTATAGTATACTATAAAGCATATGAAAAAAAATATTTATTTCATATTTCTCTGCTTTTTAGCTCTACTTAGCTCATAACTCGACAGCGAAAGTTCAGGTCCAATCTATTGAAACCCTAACCGCTTGTCTCAACATGGTTAAACATGTACCACTTAGTGATGCAAATATTTTCCCTGAATATATTTTGCCAGCAATAGCGAAATTGTCTTGCGAACCAAGCGCTGTGATTGTACGAATGGCGTTCGCCCGTAATGTTGGTAAGTAATCAAGTTAAATAGATATTATTACATTAAATAAATGGTATTAATGGCGATTTCCCTATTCACAGCTAAAATAGCCAAAATCGCCATATACTTTTTGGAAGAAACCCAGCGTAATGCGCCACATGATATGCCAGCGCGCAGATATGATACTGAAGTAAACGTATTGCATGAATTTCTCCAACGCAACGTATTGAGCTTACTCACTGACTCGAGACCAATTGTCAAGCAAACCCTTATGGAGTCGAGCATTTGTGATCTTTGTGGCTTCTTTGGCAAAGAGAAAGGTTTGTTTATATAACTGTTAAAAAATGGTCATACATTTTGTTTATATAATTCTTTGCTTTTCTTTCTTTCGCAGCTAATGACATAATACTGTCCCACATAATGACCTTCCTTAATGATGAGGATAAAAATTTGCGTGGCTCATTTTTCGACAATATTGCTGGAGTTGCTGGCTATGTCGGTTGGCAAGCCTCCGATATACTTGTTCCTCTCCTACTCCAGGGTTTTACCGATCGTGAAGAATTCGTGATTAGTAAAGCTATCCGTGCGATTACCACCCTCATCGAACTGGGTCATATAAAAAAGCCAGCTATCACAGATATAATTAAAGAAACAGCTTGTTATTTGTGTCACCCGAATCTGTGGATACGTCATGAAATTTGTGGCATGATATCAACAGCGGCACGCATATTGAACGCCATTGATGTGCAAGTTAAGATAATGCCGTCGATTAAGGCCTTTCTTAAGATGCAACTTATTCAAGTAGAGAAACCGTATTTACTCCTAGACTGCTTACTGCCACCAATACCTCAACAAATATATGACAGCGTGTTAAGGTATATATTAGAAGGAATGAAGTGTTAATTATGTGAGCTTATAATTAATTATATTTAATTTTAGATTTCAAGACACTAATTCCTTTATAACTGAGCTGGAGAATCGTGCGGCCGCACGCAGTATCGGTAGGCCAGTTTTGCCAACGCAACATGATGAATCCAACCAAGCGCTGCGGAATGTAAGTGCACATATGCATAAACACACAGACATGACTGCCATGAAAGTTTTGTTTTTTTTTTCCTATTGCTTGGAATGTTTTACAAACTAAAAATGTTTACTTGGCTAAGTAAAAATATCCTTTTTAAAAATAGTCTTTTTGCTCCGTTGTAATAACGGCATCCCAAAAAATTTAGTCTTATAGAATAAGTGCGATGTGGCATCATTTCATTTACACTGTGTGTGGAGAGTCACCGCACGACATTTACCACCTCTTCACATGTCCCTTTAAGCCAACACATCTAACCCCGCTCATCTTATGGTCCGTACCTACCGTTAGATGACCTCGATGACTTAGATTGTTTAACCTGTCCCAAAAGGGAGTTAACATAGCAGCTACAGCAACAACAACTACAAAATCATTTTAAATAAATTTTTTATTCTCTTGTTTTCAGCTTTTCTGTCGCCTTTCCTCAGAGGGTCTTAATGAAATTGTCGAAATGCAGCTACTCGCATTTAAACCCTACATATTCAAACTGAAGCATAAAGCTCATCAGGATATTGAAGAGCCCACCACATCCGGTAATGGACGCATAGTAATCACCCGCAAAGATGTGCTCTGTCACGAGTTTCCACTCTCTGAGAAGTTACCCAGATCACCACAAGAATCACGTATGAAATTTGATATCCTTACTTTCATACATACACATATACATACATTCATACAGACATACATACATAAAAACATAACTTTTGTAGTCTAGACTAGTTTAACCGTAATCGTATACTTTTTGTTGCTATATATTGTACATTTAGGCGCAACTGATGGCATACTGCCCGCAACTGCGTCTCCTGCGTCGGATGCAGCTGTTTCGTCGCTCGTTGTGAGCGGCACAGCTGGTAGCCCACCCACTGGTATTACCTTGGTAGTAGGCGGTGCTGCTCAACAGACAACAACTGTAAGCGCCGCCACTTCGCTGGGAGAATATACAATGCCGGAACGCAACTATTGGCAGGGTACGAAACGTACCAAAATATTCAAGAAAAGCAAAATCATAAAAAAAATAATAATTTTTGTATTACCGTAGCTATTGCAATATCTAATTTATTGTTCTTATTATTAATACTTTATCTTTATCTGTAGAACGTTCCGCGGAGTGTCGTAAAGACTTGGAGGCACTTCGTGTAACACTTAAGAATCGTTACAGCATGTTGGCCTATTCACAGCAAAGCCATACGGAGCGCCTAAACACAGCTTACCCACAGGGTTGGTCTATGAATGGCACTATGATAGCGCATCTGCATGAACATTCCGAATCCGTGAGTAAGATGGCATCGTTAAGACCGTATGGTCCGATCTTCGCAAGTGGTAGCGTAGACGGCACCGTACGTTTGTGGGATTGCAACAAATTGAATGGCAGTCAAGCCATCAACAAGTCACGTCAGGTTTACTCGGCTAATACGCCAATTTACTCGCTAGTCGCCTGCGATGGCGGACAATCTTTGGCTGTTGGCGGCAAGGATGGCAGCCTATTGATTATGCGCATTGACCGAAATTCATCGAAAATGACACTACAGCAAGCGTTGCATTTAGATGAGTGGTGAGCTGTTTGAAAATCGTATTTAAGTGGAAATTCCTATAACATATTCTTTACAAATTTTAGTGAGAATAGCGATGGTCCAGTCGTAGATATGCAATCGTACGATCAGAGTGTCATTATTTACGCCACGGTTTATGGCGCAATTGTTGGTTGGGATACACGTGTGCAAAAGCCTGTTTGGCGTTTGGAAAATGAACTTCAGCATGGTGTTATAACTACTATATGCGTTGATTCAGCAGGCTCGTGGTTGGCCACCGGCACTAGCGGCGGCAAACACATTTGCTGGGATCTACGTTTTCGTCTGCCAATCGCTGAAATTAAACATCCAAGTGGTTCGCGTATACGCAAAGTAGCCTGTCATCCGACAGAACCTTCGTACCTGATATCAGCTTATCAAGCAAATAATGAAGTCTCGTTGTGGAACATCGAAACGGGTCATCGCCAAACAGTATTATGGGCTAGTCAGACACCGCTACTATCGAACACTCAAACGGTGAGTTACATTAGCTGTCATGCATCGAAAACTATTTAAATCAAATCAATTTGATTTACTCTTTCCAGAGTGAAACAGCAACCTCTTGCGGCATTTTGAGTGGCATAGTTAACAATTCCCCATTCCTTTTAACTGGCAGCTCAGATCAACGTATACGTTATTGGGATTTGAATGAACCTAAAAACTCGGCGCTGAAAGTGCCAGCTATAAAGGATAACCTTGATGACATCTCTTTTACCTATGAGTATGTTTCGAGTACAGTGCTAATGATGTATAATACTAACATAATAATTTCTAATTAATCTCCTGCCTCTTTCAATATGCAGCTCACAGATCATTGATGGCAGTCAAGTAATATTTGAACAAAAGATGAAATTAAATAACACATCAGATATTAATTCGCCAAGTTGTTCAATGGAGGAGAATCCTCGTTCCGGTCCAGATATGCCGTCAACAAGTCATCATGATGCTATAACGGACTTATTAATGTGCAAAAGTGATAAGGGTCAAATATATATTGCATCTGCAGCACGTGATGGAGTTATCAAATTGTGGAAGTAGAAAAAAATATTTTCGTTTTTATTTTTTGTGTTTTAAGTTTTAAACTAATTTTTAGTCGATATATGTAATATATAGGAAAATTGCATTAAGTAAGCTTATAACTGAATAATATTGACATTTGTGTTTATATACATACATATACATATATACATATGTACATATGTATGCATGTTAATAACCGCATATACATATGTATGTACATGCCTGTGATTCGTCATATTACAACATACATTTCATTATAATTTTATCTTTTGATACATATACTCGTACACATACAACATACTATCATTTAGTCATAATTACGCCTAAAAATGTATAGTAATATTTTATATTTTATTTTAATTCTCTCAACCTGTTTAAGTAAATATTAATGTACGTACGTGAAAAGTTTAATAAAATATATATATATATATATAGTTTATTTACAAGCGAACAAGTTATGTTGGTTTTTTTTTGTTGTGCCAATAATGACGATTTATAACCACTGAAGCGATTTTCGAATCTACACTAAAGAACTAAGATTTTGATGTTGACTTTTCGAGTTCACATTAATTGCTGAGTCGAGAATGGCAAACTTTTCTGCTAGACAATATTTTTTCTATAAAACATTAAACTCACAAATAATAACCCGTTTTTCTTTTCTACCTCACGTATTAAAGTCTGCAGCTAACTAGTCTTAATTGCCGTCCAAATTTCGAAATTTCTATTTTTTTTTTAAATATTATTAAAATATTATAAGGACGAATATCTTTTGCGAGTTTTTGAACAAGAAAGCTCTTTGTTAGGAACATTTTACATAAAAAAATATATACTACATGTACATACGTGAGACTTTATATAATATTTTAGCCACAAGAATGAATAAATAAAACATTTAATAGTTTTTTTTTTACAATATGAGATTTTATTAGAAACTAATTATATCGCATATAAAAAATTATTAAAAAGAAACTAATACAAAACTGCCTATTACATCCGTCAATTTCTGTTTTGCTCTTCCTTAACAAAAATAAATATATACTCTTCTATTTTAATTGTATTTTATTTTTATGTTCCATTTAATATATATTTTAATCCCGTGTACGTAGCCCCCAAATCGATGTGCGACGTGTGCCAACTGTTGGTCTGGCCACAGAACTATGTATAAATTTATTAATACCGATATTGGGAAAGTTTTGCTCCAATAATTCCAAACCGGTATCGGAGAGCATACCAAATACATCAAGATAGGTGAGTGAAGGTAAATTGGCTAAATCCCTTAAAGAGAATAACAAAGTGTATTATAGTATATTCATGTATTTACAACTATGAAGAGTGATACTTACATGTAGGAAGAGGCGGGTATGAGATAGCAGCGGGATAGGGATAAATATTCCAACATTTTGAATTTACATATAATATTTATAACGTTGCCTGTTAGTGCAGTACAATCGGAAAAATCAACTTCCAACAGCTGTGGACACCGTTTCACCAAACTAGCGACATCTGCAAAATAATATATACACATTTTATCTGAATACTTTATTGTAAAACATTTTATGTTATTGAACTTACGAGAATCATACATAGTTTTCCGACAGCCTGCCATATTTAAACGCATAAGGTTTGGTGTTACATTGGTCACCACAGATGTTACAGCATCAACGGAGAGATTTGTCCACGAAATATTTAAGCTATTTAAATTTTGCAAACATTCCATTATTTTTCGTACACTCCAAGCTTCCAGACCTATACACATAGCTAAATTTAGCGCCTCCAAATTAGTATTCTTGGCTATTTCATTGCAAATCTCATCGTTAATGGGCACATGTTCCAAGCTTAGCTTCTTTAATTGTCGACAACGTGATAAGAGCATTTTTAATGACGGCTTTGTAACCGATACCATACTCAGATCTAAATACTGTAACTTCGATTCGTATTTTGGTTCTGCATGGAGAAATTCACTCTCAAAGACAGGATGACTTAACTGAAATGATAAGATCAAATCAAATCACTTGTAAATTTAAAGATATATATGAATAACTGTTACCTCCGCTTGTGCCATTCGCAATATTACTACACCACGTGTTAGTATATTTTCCATGGCCCCAGCACGTAAATGACGTCCGGCCAAATCCAAGCGTGTCCAAAGCGATTCATCCCTAGCACAACTGTTGAAACGCCGGCAAACATAACTGCAACGAATAAGCGCCTTTTTGGGCAACCATTTGAATATTTGTAGTATAATTTCATCCGATAAGGTATTGAAATAATCTTTGCCATCGGTAAGATGGTCACGATACTGATGTTGTCTAAATAAAAAGAAGTTGTCATATAAAGGCAAAGACGCCTGTTGTTCTGCTGTTATTGACTGCGTTGGTTGATTTTGGCAGAAAATCTTGACATCCTGATGTTGTTGCTGTCGATACTGTTGCTCTTGACACTGTTGTTGCTGTTGCAACTGTTGTCGCTGTTCTTCTTGTTTTTGTTGTTGTAATTGTTGTTGCTGCTGCTGCTGCTGTTTCATTAACATTGATTGCTTGCTGGTCGAAGGCAAACACATATAGCTACTTGATGAAGACCCAGCGTTATTGGATACATGGGGAAGGGGTACTTTAATCACCTATTAAATAAATTCATATAAGCACATTTTTCAGCAAATTACATTTAACTTTTACAATACCTGTTGCTGTTGAGTATGTGATGTAGCATTCCTTATTGTACGAATATTATTGTTTCCAGTGACAGTTGACAAAGGACTACGTGTATTTCTGCTTGTAGAAGGTGAGTTAGAATTTGTACATGTATTGTATATTTGTGGCGCTGTGGAGGTTATTGAAGTAGATGTTGAAGTTATGCTAGCGCCAATACCAACTATTGCTGCTTTCTTGTACTGAACTAATAATTTATCAGCAAGCTGCTGCTGCTGTTGCATATTTATTTTACTATCATTACCATACGTATCTAGAGCGCTACTATTATTATCACGGAGTTGGCTTACAGTATTTTTAGCATCATTTTCAATCATACTTTTACCGGGCGTAGTTATTAATGTATTATCGTTTGTGTCGCTGTTGAATGTGCTGTCTAAGGTGTTATCCAATGGACGATAGGATATGAATCGTTGATGACACATCTTGGGTACATCAATATTAGGTGTGACACCATTAGAGTTTTCATCTGCACTAGCACTCAATACTAAAGCTATTGAGGACGCCGCCGAAGATGAACTCTCTTCTGAATCCAGCACTCCAATGCCCATATCTTCCAAAAATTCTGTAGTAAGTGCGTTTGGGGACGAATTTGTTTCAAGTTTAGCGAGTTTCCAATTTGTGACTGGTATACCTTTAACACGTTTCCTGCAAGTAAGAATATGTAAAAAATTTATCTTTTAAGGTACATTTAATTATATTATTTCTTAAATAAACAAAACAAGATAAGTTTGAAGTGCTAGAACTTTCTATATATTTAAGGTGTTGTTAAGTTGAGGTCATGAACTCCAATTTGATAAAAAAAAAACAGCTTACACGTACTTTTTACACAGTTGCTGTTCACGTAAAATGCTTTGCTAATACATACAGTGACCACTGCAGTTACCTCGGATTCTAACCGAACTCATGCCACATTTAATAACATAGACAGGACTATTGTTTGCACTTTATTTATTCACCAAATGTTTCACTTATATTTTCAATTGCGAATGTGTTTATATCTTTAATGCAGTATTGCAATTGCCATACACTAAAGTAACAAATAACACAAAAAATGCACCGCCTTTTGTTTAACAACAATTAAAATTGACAGCAAGACTAATCACTAATTGTCAGTCGTCGGCGATCGGCTGTGCATCCTATAAACATAAATTTACCATAATCACAAATACACCCACATTAAACGATATGCACTTGCAGCGAATTGCGTTTTATATGAAATATTCGCCGAAACACGTTGTTGTCATTTTACATTGTTGCTGTCATTTCCCATGACATAATTTGCGCCATTTCTTGGGAAATTTTTCGGTTTAAATCGCGCCACCCAACACTACCGCGATTAAATTGTATGAATGAGACTTCCAATAAAAACTTAATACGTATTTCGTCGAAAAAATTTTATTTACCTTGATGTCGGGCACAAATTTTCAATATTATCTGCTTGTTTCGATTTCTTATTACTCATTGTATATAAAAATTTTCACTTTATTTATAAAACTTCAGCTTTTCTGCTAAATAACACAAAGCAAATTTTGGTAAGGAACAAATAACTACAATCAACAAGTGCAAAATTGCCAGCTTTCGTGCATTCCAGAAACACTGCGTTGCCACCTACTTGAAATTGTTGAAAAGTAATCAATTTTCGCTTATATTTTGCGATGAATTCCGAGGTCTTACCTTTTCGATCCCTGGATTATTAAATAAAAGTCCTGTGATGTGTTTTTCAGCTTTTTAGTTGTACAAACACACACAGTTTACTAACTTTTAAACTTTCTATAATCACACAGTTTATTCCCCTGTAAACACACAGTTTACTAAGCTTCACCCTATACCTATAACGGCAGATCGTTCACATTATTTTCTAAAAGATTCTCTTTGAATGTTCTCGATAATGAATATTCAATAATTCACGCGGTACTCTGTTACATGTAGAACTTTTTAATGAATGGTACGATTTTGATAATACCTTTTTCTGAAAAAAGTTGTAAAAAAAAATTAACCAAAGGGATGATTCATTGACCTCAAAGAATAAACCCGCATGAGACCGGTTGTTGATGTTACTAATATTACTAGTTGAAAACAATTTTTAACTAATTAGAAATGGGGTTAATCCATGGGTTTTTTTTTAATTTTTCGATTATTATATCTTTAATAAATAATTTCGTTTTCTTAGTATAAATATAAATGATTGGCGCTTTGTAACCGCTGAATCATTTTTCGGCCAAGCTTTTCCTCAAATTTTTAAGTATGCGTCTTGTTGTTTTTCGAACAAATGGAAGGACCTACAATTTATATTAAGCCGCTTCAGAACGGTTTTTATTCATGTCCGAAATACACTCGGAGAGGTGGACATTCCCTGCCGAGGATCGACCGCAATTAAAAAATTTAACTAAAATTTGTATTGAAATTAATTTTCTTTAATTGGATGTTGGTCGAAGCAAGGCTCGAACCGTGGCCTTTTAAATGGCAGAACGCAGTGCTAACCACTCGCCTAATAGTGGCTTAACTGAATATGAATAGATATCAGTAAAATATTTTAACTTAACGGAGACATCTTAATAATAGAGACTTAATACAAATAAATTTAATATTTTTGCTCTTCAGCTATTCGGCGGCCTCATTTTAATTAAGTTCTTTTAATTTCATAGCACATTAATGTAATTAGATTATTTCTAAGAGCGCGTCTATAAATATTATAACTATTATAACCCGGTCCAGAGGGGAAAAGGAGGAATTGAGAGCAATGGTACGTAGTTTTCTTCAAATAATTTAAATATTTATTTCTAAATACATGGCTTCTCTGTGGGATTGTCAAGACACAAAAATTATCTCAAAGTGAGAGATTGTTTTTGAGTAAAATCATATATTCCTATGATACGATTTTTTAAAACTGAAAATTTTCTGTTTCAGCCTCACCATCGCTACACACCTCGTAAGAAAATACTAAGACAATTCTTCTATCAGGGAAACAATACTTGAGGTTCTAACTAAATTACGAACGCTCATCAAACATTACCCAATTAGTATAATAATAAACTTGGAAATTATTATTTAAACTTAACGTTTCAGCGAGACTGACATAGAATTAATTGTACGTTGGCTATTTAAAAAAATTTGGAAAAAAATAAAATTCGAAAATAAATTTCATTAGCCATACAGTCATTTGGAAAGTAAGAATCCAAGTCCTGGTTCGGCCAATATCCAAAAATCACTCCACCGGCTGAAAATCGTTACAGCGGTTACAAATCGCCGTATATGTATATAAAATATACCAGCTCTGTTCGATGAGAAATGTCAGTAAGAATAATCCACTAACCAAATGTCAAGATTTTCTGTGCTTTAAGGGTATAGTTTTAGTTAGTCAATTATTAGGTGCAAATAACACAAATGGGACCGATATAACTATTGCCATGTATATGTGACTACCTTAATGTTTAGCTCAGGCTCATACCATCGAAAAATCCTGATTTATGAAGAAGTTTGTCAACCCTGGTTTGAAATGGGACATTTTCACCAACACATTTTAATACGAGCGTGTATGTATACAACTTTTTTTGAACAAAAGAAGAAGAAGAAATAATTTGTTTAATTTGGCGGCTAGTAAAAATTTATATTTATTTTCCAAAGTTATTCGATATTTATATTTTGCAGGAGATACTAAAACCATAAAAAAGTTGTGAAAAGATTATATGGTTTGTAAGATAGAAGATATTGAAAATAACACATTCATAGTTAGTCAGCAAAATGAAAATATAAAAACTAAAAGTGATGACGTTCTCAAAGGGCGTATGTTTTTTCTTATATCTGAAATTTCATCGACTAATTAATTCATAATTTATTAAAGTTGTGAAAATTTTACTGAGCTGCTCGATAGTAAATGCGCTGTACTTTACATTTAATTAAATTGCGCCGTATCAAAGCGAAAAACAAAGTATTCATTGTATGCATGCTATTGAGAAAGAAAGAGGGTGGTTTTTTATTGTTTAAACGCAATGCTGAGGAACTAAATGCAAAAAGGAGATGTATACATATGCCATAAATTCATAAGAAGCCGAAGAAAACAATCAAGCGGAAAACGAAAATTGATTATCAAATGTCGCCAAGACCTGCGCGATCAACTCGTGCAAGGGATAAGCAAAAAGGTTGTATTTATTATTCAAGTAAACGTTTAAAATCACACGTCAAACATTTTTAGAGTGTAAAGGACTTGGAAAAAATCGGAAGTACTTAGAAAATGCAGAAATCAAAGTTCAATAACTATTAAAAGGCGGTCCCAAGCATTGCCGGATCAGTGCAGGAACAATAACAATTTAAGTGAAGGATCCCCCATATCAAATACACAAAAGATTAAAAGAAAGGCTTTAGTTAAATGTAAATCTGTAAGAAGACAACCTTCATATACTTTACAGCTAAAAGGTGTGTATTTCTTAAACACACAAATATGTATTTTCATTAAATATTATTATTTTTTGTCTATATAATTATAAAGATTGTAAACCATTGAGAGTACGGGTTAAAAGGATTGATTCATTACAGCTAAAAAAAGGAAGTGTTGAAGAAGTTGGTATGTACTTATATTTTCAAACTTTCCTAATAAAGATATCTAACCATTCTTATTTAATAAGACTCAAATCAATTAAAACAACTAAACAATACAGTAAACACGATGAGAACCAGGAGAGCTTTTGAGAACGTCACTACAAATTGCAGAAAGGATTGCAATTCTTTACCAAAAAGAAAGAAAAAACGCGATCAAACTAATTCAAAAACACTAATTAATTCATTAAAACCAAACACGGAACAAAACATAAACAATATCGAACAGAAGAAGCTAACCAGGCAGGCAGTGAAACAAGACGCGGCTCTTAAAAATGCTAATAGTAACAAAGAGACAAATATTTTGCCAAAAGTAAAGAAAAAACCTGATAAAACAAATCCATCAACAAATCACTCGTTTAAGGAGAACATAATATTAGCTAATGTAGTGATGACTCCTTTGCGGCTTAATAATTTGAATAAACTCAGTCTTACGAAGTGTTCAACTGCTCAAAAGACAACAAGTACTTATTCTCCAAAAGCCCTAGATATTTCCCAATTTAGTCCAATAAGAAATTCGACTGTTTTTGAACTCGGCGAAAAACTGTGTGAAGAGGAGTTAGGAAGTTCAGAGACCAGTGCAAAACGCAACAGCTCCAACTCAAAAGGTATCCGAAATGAAATATATTAATTAATTATATAAATTTAAAAGTATTTACCTAAAAAATGTTCCATTGCAGGAAGTCGAGTTTTGAAAAATTTAACAAACAACCCAGAATTGATTGAGCAAATAATAACCGCTGAAAGACAGAGCGATGACGAACTAGAAATTATTAATACGGAAGAAAAACACGGCACTACCGAGAAGGATGCGCCCAAACACGAAAATAAAAGCCATAAATTCTTTCATCGATCGCCCGAGAGGAAAACGCAATCGAGAAAAACAGCGAAAGAACCAGAAAAAGTTTTTGAATTTCTGTCACAATCAGATACTTCGGAATGTGAAGCGGCAAAAAATAAAGATCCAGCCGCGGATATTATACAAAAATTGATATCTGAAGGAAAAGTATGTGTGGCAAGCACACACAAAGGTACAGGTCGGCCTTTTATGAAGCGATTACGCAAAAAAACTGGAAAAAAGAAAAAAATAATTACAAAACAAAAAGCAACCAAAGTAAAAAGGAAAGAAATAATAAACAAAGTCAATAATATAAAGGAAGGTGCTGATGAACTACCCAATGATTTTATGTGTGACGCTTCCTTGACACCTGTTCATAATCACGATTTCGATGCACAGGATATACCGGAAATAGACGAACCTTCTAATGAGGGTGGTTTTAGCCGTTTGGCGCGTTCAGTACTTTTACAACAAACAAAGAATACACATAAAAAAGATGTAAGTAATACAATTTACTTTTATTAACTATATTATTATAATTTTTTTTTTTTTAATAAATTAGCTTACCGAACAACGTCGACTACTCGCGATTGCACGTAATTTTGTTAGCACACCAGCGGCTAATTGTCAAAATCAACATATATCCACTTCTGACCTATCTCCTATTCAGTCACTTAACTTACAACGGCGCCCAGTGTGCCCGTCACCGTGGCGTATAGACGACGATTCGCATCTACCGAGAGTTTTTAACTTCAGTAAAAATACTTCATGCATGCCAACATTTTCCAGTGATTATATTCCTCCAACACCTAAGAAAAACAAACAATTAAATAACAATACACAAATTTCCAATGATTCGAATGCCATATTTAATAAACCCACCCGGATCGAACAAGATAATTCCTTCACCATACCAACAAATCTGACAAACACTAACTCGAATGATCAATTGATCAAGTCTTTAGGATCAGAACAGGATTCGAATGCAGAAAATATGCCACCTCCCACTTTGGACCCGGTGCCAACAATTTCGAATAGCGATGAGAATGCAGAAATATATAATTTACGACAGCAACCTAATCCCCGGCGCACACTTCGTAATCGGAGTCCACTGAAAGCCATTAACATATTAGAAGTTGTAAGTCTCCCTCCGTGGAAGAAGCCTGAAGCAACTGATACCCGGAAAGATCTAAGAAATTCTACGGCTGCTAGTGAAAATAGCAAAGATGAAAAATCAAATGGGGCAGATGATTTATTCGGTTTTGAAGAGTTTTTAGATGCCAACTCAGAGGCTGAAGAGGAAGAACCCACAAGTGCGACTAGTACAAAAGCACCGAATAGGCCGTCTATAAAACGAAATTTACGTAAGAAACTTAAGGATCTCCAGAAGTGGCGGCCAAAAGACACTAATCAAGGCAAATCTGATGGTACGTTAAGATCATGTCGCCTTTTCGGCGAAGGTGATCGGCCGAAGCAACGGCTCATTAAAGAAATGCTTTGTTCAACTATGATTAATCGCGAACAAGCAGAAATTGGAAATGACGGAAGTGATGAAGAGTGTAACGATGAAGCGGAGAACAATGCGAAAGCAAATGACACCGATTTTTTTAATGATTATGAACCAGAAACGACACTTGACAAAAAGGTATGAGCAACAGAGAGTTTCATATATTTACATACATATCACTCAGCGGTTATTATACCTTCTGAATTCAATGTACAGTTTAAGGAATTCTAGTAATTTAAACCGCTATATAAAGTAATATTGCCTTATGCATACCATGTTTGACAATAAGAGCTCACAGGGCCTTAAAGAGTCAAGTACATCTTTTTTGGTAGTATGCAGCTCGAACAAACTATAACTACTATTTAACTATAAAATTTTAAAATTTATTTTCCCATGCTATTATTTATTTGTTAATTTGATTCAAATGTTCGGCTCTTTTAGCAAACCCAACGTACATACGGTCGACCGGCTAAGAGGAAACGTAAGACAAGAAATAATTTCGTTATGTTTCCAGACAGTGAAGAATCAAATTCGGACTCTGAAGACGAAGAACACGGGCAAAAGAAAAAGGCACAGAAGAAGCGACGACATGAAGCACAGGCTGATGCTAAAGAAAATCCTGTATTGAAATCGTTTATAAACGAATTCAATAGCATGTGCAAAGAAGTAGAAAACTATGAGCTGCATGTGGAGTAGCGTGTTCGCAATATAATTTTATAATTTTGTCTTCGTAAATTCTGATGAAATTGATTTAAATATATTTTTTAATTTATTTGATTGGTAAGCCAAACGGCATTAAGTATGTAAATATTTTTTAAGTTGCCTTTTAAAGGCGTTTTATGTTTGTTTTGTTCATGTTTTTTTTTTTTTAATCATGGGTCAAGTACTCATTAAGTTTAACCTTTTTTTCGGCATTTGATTTGGTTATATTTTACTCGCTTTGCTTTAAGGGAAAAGAAAAAATATATGCATATATACACTTAAGCATAGAAAAATAAATCTGTGGAATATTATATTTAAAATAACATAAATGTGTATTATTACATAAGGGATTACAACATCTAGTCGGGAGCCCTACAAATGAGATTTTTCAAACATTTTTCACAAGGAAACTTTTAGCTTTATTATTTTGAGCATTTGGCACCTTAGAAGAGTAGTTGCCAATTTTTTATTTATAAAAATAACAGTTTTTGAAGCTGCTACAGCAGATCTCCAGGGACCACTTCCAAAAAAAGCGTTTTGCGGTGACCATTGTATTTCTAAAGTTAATCATCTGAAATAAAAAATCAAAGGCATTTCGTTAAAGTAATGTACAATCTTGTGGTTAATCGAGAGAATAAGCCAACCTTTTTTTTTTTTTAAATGGCGGGTTCTTAAGAAAAAAATTAAAATTTTCTCCACTAACATCTATAGGAATTTTCCCCTAACATCTATAGGAATTGATGGCAAGTTTAGCATCTTCGAGAGCCTGTCTACCGAGAAAAGAAAAATTTTACAAGAAGGTTTAAAGCTAAAACGTTTGGGGAAGCTGCAGTCGGTGTTCTCTATGAGAGGAGATGTTTATGTTAGACTCAGTACAGACTCCACTGCATGCAAAATAGGAAATGTTGATGATCTTCAGCGATTTCGTTAACATTAACTTGTTATATTTATATTTATATTTTTATTTGTATTGTAGCTTTATATATAATTCATATATGTTTTATTTGAATGTTTTTGTAAAAATGGTCATTCTCTTTTCCTTGCTTTATATTGTTATTCTTGAGGTTGCTTATGTTTTTGTTCTTGTTGAGCATGCAAAACAGCTGTCCTAGTATTGGCATGAACAGTCTCATGATTGATGTGCTATGTAAACAAAACAGTGGATTCAACATAGTCCATTTCAATGCGCGGAGTCTAAGTTCAGATAAAATGGATTATGTTCGCAACACATTTGAGCTTTCATCAATTGATGTCATCTGTGTTTCTGAAACATGGTTTGATGAGGATTTATGTTACTCGTCTACTAACATAAAAAACTACAAATTAATACGTAATGACAGGCCAGGAAGAAGAGGAGGTGGGGTTGCAATATTTTGCAAGGACATATTTTCTATGAAATTACTTTCAAAATCTGCCGATAGCGATATTGAATATTTAATTGTAGAAGTAAGCCATAAAAAATTCCAGACTGTTGTTTCTTGTGTTTATAATCCTCACCGAACTAATGTTGTCAAACCTTTTTTTGATGTAATTTCTTTATATGTTGTTAAGTACAATTCAGTTATAGTATGTGGTGATTTTAATGTTAATCTTCTTGTCAACGACTCTTATACAAATAATTTACTTGACAATCTATCCAGTTGCTCTCTCTCTGTGGTCAACCGATCTCTTCCTACGCGGTTTGCAGTGAATTGCACTCCTAGTCTTCTTGACTACTTCATAATTCTTGACTTAACTACTGTATTAAAATTTGACCAATTAACTTTTATATCTGACCATGATCTCATTTTCTGCTGTTTGGACATAAATATCGATCGTTGTTGCATAAATAAGACTATCTCTTTTAGAGATTACCGCTTTGTCAACACAAATTTACTTCTTTCGGAATTGTATTGTGTAGACTGGAGTGAATGCTGGATATATCCATCTACCGATGAAAAACTTGATTTCTTAATGGGAATTTTAAAGTCAGCCTTCGAGAGACATGTCCCCATTCGTACAATCACTAATAAGTCTATGTCCTGTCCATGGTTTACCTCAAAATCTCTGAAATCAATTAAGTTACGAAATAAACTTCATTCCATATGGAAAAAGAAACCCACGTTGGAAAATTGGAATGCCTTTAAATCGGCTCGAAACAGAGCGACGCTTGTTATCAGAAATGAAAAACGAGCTTATTTTAACAAGAAACTAAATTCTGGCCTCTCTACAAAGGTTCTATGGCGTAACATTAAACGACTTGGTGTTCATTGTAAGGAGAATGTCGAATGTTCCTTAGAAGCAAATGTGGTTAATGATGCTTTTCTTCTAAACTGTGTACCACACAGTGACACTATTAACTTTATGTCCAGGGATGATCTCTTGTTTAGGGATGACTGTTTTCTATTTTCAGCTGTTAGTGAATATGATGTTGCAATGAGTATATTTAAAATCTCATCCAATGCAATAGGGCATGATGGTTTACCAATTAAATTTATTAAAATTATACTACCTTGCATTCTTGGGACACTAACGCACATTATTAATCATTGTATTACCACGTCTTGTTTCCCAGAGCAATGGAAAATTGGCACTGTACTACCTGTCGCTAAAAAGAACCGTCCTTGTAGTCCGTCTGATTTTCGACCAATAAGCGTCCTCCCTGTATTGTCTAAAGTTTTTGAGATGCTTTTAGCTAAGCAAATAAACGAATTTGTAAGCAAGCATAACTTAATATCTCCGTTTCAATCAGGCTTCAGGAAAAATCACAGCTGTAGTACTGCGGTACTAAAGATCAGTGATGATATTCGATCCAACATGGATGAAAATAAATTCACCTTGCTTTGCCTACTTGACTTTTCAAAAGCATTTGATATGGTCAACCATGAGTTATTAAGCTGTAAGTTGAAAGCGTACTTTGGTTTTAGTTGTAGTGCTTTAAAACTTGTGAAAAGCTACCTTGTTGACAGGTTTCAATTTGTAAAAATTGGGGAGGACACATCGCAACTCAAGCCAGTTACTTCAGGGGTGCCTCAAGGCTCCATCCTTGGTCCTCTGCTTTTCAGCATATTTATTAATGACATCTTCAGTGTGTGCAAATTTTCAAACCTGCATGGTTATGCTGATGACATTCAGTTATATTTATCTGCACCTTTTGATCAAGCTAAAGAGTTATGTAAAAGCATTAATACTGACTTGGCTGATATCTCTTGCTGGGCGGCTGCCAGCGGTCTAATTTTAAATAAAAACAAGTGCTTTGTGCTGCCAATCAGTGCTAGAAAACTGACAAATCTGGATTTTTTGCCCCCAATATTCATAGACAATTATCCCTTAAAATTAGTCAGCAAGATTAAAAACTTAGGATACATTATTAACTCTAATCTTACATGCACGGATCATGTAAACTCCATAGTTAGTAAGGTCTATCTCATTCTGAGGAATCTTAGGCAGTCATCTATCTATACACCCACTGCTACCAGACGCCGACTTGCTATACAAATTATTCTTCCGGTCATCATGTACTCTGAAGTCGTATACAGCAAACATGACAGTTTTTCTGCTCGTAAAATTGACGTTATGTTTAATAATGTCACACGGTACGTGTTTGGTCTTTCCAAATATGAGCACATTTCGTCTTGGAAAGATCAGATATTAGGATGTACGATTGCGGACTATCATAAAGCCAGAAATTGTATTTTTCTTTGCAAGCTCATCATGACTCAATCACCTAGTTATCTTTTTTCCAAGTTATCGTTTACTCGGTCAGCCAGAGTAGGTAATATAATAATACCTTTTCATAGATCACAGCAATCATCAAGGCTGTTCTTTGTCAATGCTAGTCGATTATGGAACTCTCTTCCTGCTAATTTAAGGAGGAAATTAAACAGAAGCAATTTCAAGAACCACATATATATGCATTTTAAAGGCCAAATTTCAAACATAGACTGACCATTCAATAATTGTTTAAGTTTTTGTCATACTCAACTCATTATATATTATAATTATTTTTATTTTTATTATTATTTTTGTTAAGGTATCTGTAAAGTAATATTTACTTATTCTTCACACTATCTCTGTTGTACTAAAAAAGATATGGAAATCTTATTGTACTAATGCTTTGTTATTATTATTAAAATAAAATAAAAATAATTTTGGTCTTGAATTATGCATTATAAAAAAACTTTTCATCAGTAATAGAAAAGCTTAGATTAAGTACTAGACAATATTTTTTAGAAGCCCGTGTAAAAATTTGAGACTTAACGGTTCAAATGTTCCCGAGAAATCTTGGTCAACTAATTAAAAAACATAGTTTTGAGGTTAATTTCGCTTACGACCTTTATATGCTCTGAAGCGTCGTTAATTTTCAGAGTATTTACTTGAATACATATACATTACGATAATGAAATTAAAAAAAAAATGATACCAGGTAATTTTAAGTCAGTTTACTTTTGTAGCTTCCAAGCGTAACTGCTTTCCTATAATTGTGTTTTCCTTTCAACGTTCACAGCTTTCTTGTCATTAGACAATACAAACATGTTTTCTCTGGAGGTCACTCTTGAAAGAGCGACATACAGTTGTCCATATGAAAAACAGTCAACGCTCAAATCTAAGCCTGGAGGGAGAACTACTTCTAATTTGACTTTTGCTTGAAGCAACACATGCCTTTTGATTCGTCCTTGAATTTCAATGCTAAGCAATGTTCACACACTACTGACATAGTACATATTGATACTATACGATCGTCCTTGTAAGAAATCGAAGGGTCGTAATTCATGGCAGAATTTTCTTTATTTTCCCATGAATTAGTAACTCGTGCTGATGATTCTCTCGCTCTCTGTATTCGATGTCATTCCCTACCTCAGCTGCGGTGAACTTCACGCTCTACTGAAGATTCTCTCTCTCTCTCTCAGCTCTATATCTATCCCGAAGCTGACTGAGGCGAGCCCCACGCTCTACTGACGATTCTCTGTCATTCTGAACCGTATGCCTATCTCGATCCCTGCTGCGGCGAAACTCACGCTCTACTAAAGATTCTCTCTTTCTCTCAGCTCTATATCTATCCCGAGCCTGACTGAGGCGAGCCTCACGTTCCGTTGACGATTCTTCATCTCTCGCTGAACGTACTCATCTGGTATTCACTGTACTACGACCTATGCTCGAACGACGACGTCTTCCAGACATGATTTTATTATTTCTGTACAAAATTTACTCAGTTCTATATGTATGATTACCTATGCACAAATTGCCATATTATTAGTATGTGTCGCAGTAAAAAATATCTAAATTCTTACCATTTAAAAACAAAAGATAATCAACAATCATCAACAACAAAATATACCTATTCTATTAAGTACTTTTTCTGAACTTACATATCTCACCTTAAATCACGATTTTTGAAAATAATTTCCCTAATATTAAATTGATTTAACTGTAAATTTAAATCAAGAGCTTGATAGAAAATTGCAATCCATAAATTCTGGTTTTATTTAATCCAATCTTATCTCACCTTATGTAGGTACTTATAATTACCATAAGTGCGAATAGAATTTATATTGTCGCGCTGAAAAGCAAGTTTTTATTACCTAAGTATTGCTATTTTCCTCGCTGGAGAGCTCCGTTATAATAAACGCGTCCGATCGCTGCTAAATTCAAAGTGCTACAGGGAAAAGCGCGGCCTCAGACGCGCTATTTATAGGCATGCTCTTGCCGCACCGTGCGGCCGGCAGGTACCGCCACAAACGCCATCCCGCAATTAAAAAGTTGTAATATCTTCGAAAATATTCACTTAAATCATACGGTATAAAAAGCTATATAGATCTATATTAAATGAACAATATATTCAATCCGTTACGTAGTTTCAAAGATTTAAGCATACAAAGGGACATAGGGGCAGAGAAAGCGACTTTGTTTTATACTATGTAGTGATTCTGCGTTAAGCTTGGGACCGACTATGCAAAAAATTACTCACAAGGAAAATGAATCATAATTCCCAAATGGGAACCTCCCTTTTTTTGTGGTTGGTTGAGACCATGGACTATTTGGGTGCTTAGGACGTTTAGAACGGTTGTAGTGCTGGGCACTTAACGGAAGTCAAACTGAGCTCAGAGGGTGTGGGAAAGATGAGCAAGGCCCAAATTGCCTTCGCTACTGGGAACAGAAAAGATATCGGCCGATATGACTCCCCCTTGCTGGCTGGTTGCCCCGGTTTAGTAGGGTACTCTGTTCCTGCTGGTCTCAAGTGTTTTAGCATCAGCATGCTTATTCCGACAGGACCGATGGATTTGAAAGCTTTTATCTCCTTCGATATCCCCTTGAACATCTTTCTTGGAGAAATCAAACAACCCACCCTAGTTTTGCAGTTTACGCAGGCAGCGAATTGTCGTTTAATATTGTCTACCGAAATGCGCAGTATAAAAAATCGGCTAAAATAACTCGCGCATTTCTTTGGGCACGACGATGCGCGCTCAACGAATGTCCGTTAGACAATGATTTGACTGCGACCAAGAGCTTGATTGCACGAGAGGGAAGGTTGTTGGGTCTTAAGTATTCGACGTCGGAAGACCTATCAATCGAGTCTATTATGAGTAAGTGATCCTTTGCTAACGTCAGCCAGCTCTTTGACTTTAAAGAAAAACAAGAATTTTTTATTTGTTTTAATTTTTTATTTTCCATATTCACAAATCAAAAAACTCATTATATAGAGATTGGTGTAATGCTGAGCACAGTGAGGTGAGTACAGAATTGTATGAAGATGAGTAAGTAGTCTATTGAACAGTGTGTGCTGAATAAGAATTTTTCACATGTATTTTCTCATTGATTCCTTTAAATGAGTATGCATGGGTGTGTGTACAACAATGATCAAAACAAAATAATAAAAAAAAAAAAATAAGATCCACATTTAATGAATAAAGTTCACTAATTTTACAATTGTCCAGTTAAAGTTTTTCCTTTTTCTTAAATATTATTCATTAATAAAATTATATATCCTGTTTCAAAGTACACCCAGTCATCACACGTCATGCCCTTCTCTCATTTGTGTAAGCCAAATTATTGAAAACTTTTCCGTTTAATAAGCAGCCTGCTTACATTTTTCCATTCACATACGTGTATGTATGTATGATAGTATATGCGTATAAAGTATTTGAATGCATTGCATACCAGAAAATTGTGTATAAAACGTATGTATATTGTATTTTTCTTGGTCAACAAAGTTTTAAAATTGTACACATAGTGATTCATTATAGCATTAGAACTAATAAAAATTATATTAAATTTCTTTATTTAATATTAATAATCAATTTGGTAATGAGGCGGCGCGCCGAACGTTAACATATAAAATGTTGTAAGGAATATTTTCTACGCCCACATCTGTTTTTAATAGTAATTTCCATAGCCGCTCCATTGTCCATAATTGCTATAATTGGAGCCATACTGCCAGTGGTTGTAGTAGCCATCGTAGGATTGCTGCGCTGTGTAAGCACCGCTATTTTGTTGGCCATAATAGGCCGAGTTTGCTGAATTGTAATTGTAATTTGAGGCTGTAGCAGTAGTGCCGTTATTGTACGCAGAGGTTATAGCAGCATTCGAAATTGTTGCATCTTTGCTGTTGGATGATGATTTTCGTGATGGACTGGATTCACTGCAAAGGGGGGGGGGGGGAATTGTAAAACCAAGGGTTATCAATACCATAGCAAACTCTTGAACAAATGTAAAAAATCTTCACTTACCGTTTCTTCTTCGCTTCATTTGCCTTGCTCAACGCGATCTGCAGTGCACGTTGTGCATCTTGTAGACCTTTCGCTGTACTACCAAAATCTTCCAAGAACTCAACCTTACGTTGCGCAAAAAGCACTTTTTGCTCAGGATCCATATTTTCACGTGCCATAAATTTATCCATAATTAGCACAACTTCATCTTCGTCCACCTTGGGTCGCTGCAAAACCAAATCTATCATTTGCAAAGCGACCCGTGTGTTGGCCGGATCTTTGTCTAGCGCTTGACGTAGCACGCGCAAACCACCATCGAGATCTTCACAAATTTTATTTAAGAATCGTGCATATTTAATAGCTAAACTGCCGGCAATGGTTTTATTCTTTGCCGAATTAATATAATGCTCGTATAGTTCACGGCATCTACTCATATCGCCACGTCGGCGTTCGACATTTATTCGCCGATATGCGACCTGTAACAGGTTTGGACATTTCTTTTCCAGATTTTCTAATACCGTTGCAGCACGGTCGAAATTACTTTGGCACTCTTCAAATGCCGCCCACATTAGTTGGAGGCTCGGTTTGTCAGGATGATGTATTTCGCAGGCGCGTCTATATACATCACTTGTAATGGCCGCAATACCAGGCTGATCCAATTGTGTCTCAAGATAACGTATCATTTTCAACCAAAATTCATCGTACAGTGCACATGCAATGAGGCAACGCTCGAAAAGCACTAAAATTCGTGTACGATCACCCTTTTCAATCTCAAAATCGAGATAGTCTTTCCAATTCTTTAGCTGACACCGTTCAAGCGGTTTCACGTGGAAATATGGACGCTTAATGCCCTCTTCGAAGGTCCAGCGAGCGGTTACTGCAGCAACTGTGCTCTTATGCAATTTGCGTCGAATTGATATAATTTTGTCTTTTATGGCGGTCTCCTCCTCTTCTGTGATATTACTCGAATCGCTGAGTTCTACTTGACTAGCAACTGCTCCTGTTTCGGATTCTTCGCCTAATGGCTCACTATTTGTAGCTACTGGCGTTTTTGCGTCCTCTTCTTTTGGAGACTTGCTACCGGATTCATCGTCTCTCTTTTCATCGCGGTGTTCACGGTCCTTTTCCTTTTCTTTATCTCTAGATTCGCTACGACGACTCTTCGAACGAGAGGATGAGGAACGCCCTGCATTGCTATCACGTAAATCAGTGCGAATTTTTAATAGTTCTTCGGGGGATATGGTGCTCGTAATTGAGTGTTGATTTATTAAATCTTGGAAACTGCAATTGGAAATGTGACAAGTGGGTAACATTTCAAAAACAATACAAATTCGAAGTATACAAATTACAAGTTTTTATGGTTTAGCGATCTATCTTCAAAATTTTACATACATACATTTTAAGACTTAATTCCTAGAGCACATATGTACTATTACTATGGCAGGATATGTGATGAAGGTTCCTTAACATTTAGAGCTACTTAGAATTAAGTTCAAAAATGAAGACGGCGAGTGCTTTAAATATGCGAAGTTAACATCAGATATATGGAAGGTGGAAGGGAGGCCGCAAAATTCGCCTTTTGTCAGAAACTAGTTTTTTGTGGCAGCCATGCCGAAGGTCATAGGTTCTAGTTTTGGACCCAACAACATATAAAATTGTATAGAAGTAATATTAAAACAAAAAAATGAAGTTAATTTATCCAATCGCAATCGTCCCTCGATAGGAAATGTCGACCGCTCCGAGTGTATTTCCCACATGAAATTAGAAAACACTTCAAGAAAAAATACATCAGGCGTTCGAGGGTGGCTTAGAATAAACATGAGATCGCCTTATTTGTTGGATCTCGGTCGAAAATCGCTTCTGTACCAATTTCGGTTTATATAAATTGATTAATGTACTAAATAGTGCAGGAACTGAGGGTTACCAAAATTATTTTAAGCAACTTCTTATGAAGTTAAATAGTCAAATCAAATTGAAAGAGGGGCTCGGGCAAAAATCACTTCAGCGGCTACAAAGCGCTAAATGTGTATAGCATATAAGTCTTGAGCTTTCGAAGAATTAAACTAAAATTTCTAACCTCAAATTTAAGCAAATCACCAAAACGCACAGTGGTTCCAAAAACGAAAAGCCGGAAAAAAGAAGTTTAAACTCGGGTTGGTATGTCTACTGTTAAAAACGGCCCTTTTCGAGAGTCCTACTGTCCACATCTGGCCGTTAGAAGTTGTTCTGATCAAATCGTCCGATGGGTCACATCGCAATCATCAATACTGGTCTCATTTCTCGAAGTTTTAGAGAATTTAAGATTTGTGACATGAGATTGTCAGCTACAGGTAAGTTAATTGAAAGATAGTTCCTGTTTCAAAAAAAGAAAATTTAACTCAACTTGCCCCACTTTTTTTAACGGATACTTTCTGCAGCAATTATTTCATAGTTTGTGTTATTGAATACTGAATAATAAATTTCATTGAAACTCAAATTTTTGGTACTTCATCTCCACGTTTAAAAAAAAGATAAGATTCATAATCAGCGTCCCCAAAAACCACCGAGTTTTTTTTCAATCCTTTAAGAAATTTTTCGAGTTTTGGCCACTTTTTGACTATGGAACGCCTAGCTTATAATATAATATACGTAGGTAGGTTCTTTTTGTTAAAATAGATGAACAGACTGTGCTAAGTTAAACTGATACAAATATTTTACTGCATTACAAATGGACACAAATGATTCCAAAATTATTTAATTTTTCACTACAGCTGGTTTTGTACAGTTGTAAGAACTTTGTGTTTACTTACTTATCGAAATGACCACTGTAGCCTTGCGTTGGAATGGCTAATAAACGATCGTAAATCTTTACAACTTTTTGATAATTTTTATATTCACTCTCCCATTTTATGTAGGCATCCCATAATTTATCAGAACGAAACTCCAAACCACATGCATCCACAGCGCGTTCGAATTGTGACCGAATGTACGCTTCATCGTCGGCATGATTGCTCTTCACATGTGCCAAGTAATGAATCCACAGATCAACAGATAGTGGGATCGCTTCGAGACCACGTTCGAATACCTAAATATTAGGTGTTAATTTTGCATTTAATATAAAATCATATGGTTTGCCATCATATTTTGATTGTAGTTCGAGAATTTCATGTTACATTGCCATCAATTGTTGAGTACACGCGTTTACCATCATTAAATTGGATTGTATTAGAAAAGAGAAGAAAAATGTTGACAAAAGTTTAGTTGAAAAAATGTAATCCATATACTTAGCTTGATTCTGTTTGTTTCGTTTTGTGCGTGTACGGGTTGTTTTTAAGGGATTTAATATGGAAGGAAGAAAGGAAGGAAGGAAGGAGGTAATTTTAGAACTGTTTTTAAAAGTTACTACAACTCAGCATGTATTTGGAAAACTTTCAAAGTTATCAAGGCATGGTTGAGCCATACAAGTTTCATGCAAACTTCTTTACTTTGGACAGTTTTTGAAATCACAAAGTTCATATGTAGTACATAAATCGGACATCATAATCTCTAGATTTAAAAAAGAAGAGGATAAAGAGCTACTAATTTTAAGTTTTGTTATTATAATAGTTTTTGCTCTCAACATTACGAACTTTGCAGGCGGATTTAAATAAAAAAAAAATAAATAAATAAAATAAATTTGATATTAAATGCGGAAGGTAGGAGTTTTTGGAATAGGAAAAATTTGGAAATACACGCATTCAACAATACACCAGTACACATTGTTTGCGAAGCTGGAATTTACGATTTTTATACACATATGTAGATATGTAAATACAATTCATTTATTTATTAATTTAACTTAACCTTAAGTTATAACTTAACACAATTTAATTAATTTCATTTCACAAAAATTTCATTAAAACGCCATTTGTACTTACGCATGGCCTGTTTGTGATGCACTTATGCAAAAGAAATGCTCTCGCTGCCTTAGGTAAGTGTAGTGCTGACAGAAAATATGATTTTTTTTTATATTTTCTTTGTTTATAAACATAAGAATAAAACTGAATAAGCCCGGATGATACGCAGAAATATTTCAGAAAAAATCTATTCTAAGTCGCCCAGTAAAATTTTACTACAATAAATCCTCTGCTTAGTTCAAAATTTAAGTTTTTAAAGCCGCTGATTTCCACATTTTTTTTTTTTTGCTTAAGAAGTTCAATTTCCTAAAAAACGCGCCTGTCCAATTTCTATAAAGTTGTAAATGAAATTACCAAATTGAAATCGAAAAATAAAGAAAAGCGACAGAACAAATGAAATCCGATTAATTGTCTGCCCATAAAACTATACCCTTGGGTATGTAAATAAATTGATATTAAAATATAGTACACGAATTTAGTTGCCGAAATAACATCGCTTCCCCTCTCATTCGATTTGAGATTGTTCTTATTCTTTGTTTTTTTTTTTTGTAATTCCATTTATTAATTTTAATTTTTATTAAATTATAATAAATTGCATATTGAATAATACAAAATATTGCAAATATATTCATGAACGGAATTTTATCGGTACTCACCGCGTTGCAATTGGCCTTAATACCCTTGCGTTTCTCGTAGTCAGCATATTTGCGCCAATATCCATAGCAATATGGGTAGTGTGAGAGGAATGCATCGTAAGCCTCACGTGCAGCTTCGGCATCGGACTTAAATAATAATAAAATATATTTCACCACATGTCAAAATAACAAACAGTAGCAGTATGTAGCCGTTAAAGTAGCAGTAATTAGTGATTTTTTTTTACATTTTTCACTTATTATTGCTAAAGACTGTGTCGATTTTATCGCATCGCATACCTCATTATCTACATACTGTAACAAGTATGTCCAACCAGTGAAATCGGCTGGATCCTCTTTCACTGCACGCCAGTATTTATCTAAGTCTGGTAAGCGCTTTCGTTCCTTTTCTTTATCCTTCTCCTTTTCTTTATCTTTCTCACGTTCACGCTCACGATCCTTCGCTTTTTCCTTCTTTCTATCTTTGTGTTCACTTTCTGTAGAAAAATTTTCATATATACAAATTTTAAAGCTTCCGTTTTATATCTATATTCAGCCATGTGTACTTACCTGCAACTGTTTCTGCTATTTTCCTATCCTCTGTAACAACAGGGATGGCATCATTGCTTTCCGATGTTGGACTCATAGGATTGTATTGCTCATCGCTCCGTTTCTTTGATTCTTCTAATTTGCGTTGTTTTTCTTGTTTTACTTCAGTTTTTTCCTCATCATGAGCTTTACGTTTTTGACCAATAGATTCTTTAGATGGCGTAGATTCTGGGACATTGCCTTTCACAGGAGTTTGGGGTGATACAGGTGGAGATTTTTTATCAGTTTGTGAAGCAGCAGTTGGTAGTTCATCCTCCGATATTACTTCAGCATCTGCAGGTAATTCAGCACGTTGAGGTGCAGGAAGTTCATCGTCAGAGACCTCTTCTGCGTCATTTATTTCGGGTTTTGTTGGTAATGGCAACTCGTCTTCAGAAACAAGTTCTGTGTTTACAATTGTCGCATTACTTGCATCCGCACCTGTACCAATATCCTCAGCTATTGCTGGTTCAGATAGAGAATCCTCTGATTCCATTTTTTCGCAATTTTCTCCTATAGACGATACCTTTGTCTCAAAATCGTCCTTTTTAACTTCATTTTCTTCACCACCCCCTACCGATGGCAAGCTGTTTGCGTTGTCGCCCGCCAATGATGCTAGTAAAGAACTTTCTACGGCGCCAGTTTCATTCGTTCCGTCTTCATTTTGTATTTCTTCCGAAGTTTCAGACTGTTCGCCAGCTGGACCGAATGGAAATGATGAACTTTTCTCGTCAATTCCACCTTCAGATGTTATGGGCACTTCTGTGATAATTTGTTCTTCTTCTTGAACAGCAAACATTTCAATGTCGTCGTCAATTGGTTGTTGATCTTCTTCAACTATTTGTTCCTCGTATACAACACAATCATCATCTTGTGGAATTTCTTCAATTATTTCTTCTGTTTCTACTATTTGCTCCTCAAAAATTATTTGATCCCCATCTTCGTCCGGGTTGTCAATGATAACACCTTGTGCTGCTTCTTCCAGCATTTCTTTTATGATATCTGATTGTTCTTCCACGGAATTCGTATCCTTTTCTAAGATTTGAACGTCTTCGTCTTCAACATCAATAACCTATAAGTTATTTTAATTAATGTACCAGTCTTAGAAATATGCAGCAATGTGATAATATATACAGTATTCAGTTGGCCCTTGCTTGAAATCACATTTGCCAAAGCAAATCATGTGAAAGTGGAACATCGCCACACTCTCACACACAAGCATATTTTTCATCAATGTTTCATATTAAGTTAATGCTTCATAAAATTAAAAAATGAAAGCCTGGAAATTTTGGAAGTTTAATGTAATTTACTAACCTGTTGTTCTTGGATTGATTTTTTCGTACGTCTAGTAGATCGTGCTGGTGTTGGAGTCAATGGAGGTGCGACAACTTTTCTACCGGAACGAGTTCGCCGTCCTAGAATATTATTTAAAGTTGTTAAATATTTTATGAAAAAGTCATAAAATTAAAAACAAATCAATGAACGATATTAAAATGAGTTTTCACAAATGTCTATATTATGCGACTTCACGAGGCTCACGTTTTTATTTTACCGTAGATGTCAATAGCAAACAGTAATGCGCCAATTTTCTGATTGAAAAGTTAAAAAACACACTAGTAGACTACAATTCTCGTTGGATCTACTTCCTCGTACCGTAATTTATAGATTCCAATAAATTATATTAAATTTATTTATTATTTTAATGTGTATTTACCTGGATTTTCAGTAGAAATATTATCTTCTTTGGACGCCATCTTTTATTCAATAAAAAGTTATCGAGACTTTTGTAAGCTGACAGTAAACAGAGTTGCATAGAACCCTACGATTTGTGCAATCGTTCTGCATTAAGATGCTATCAGACACAGCACAATATTGTTACGAATTGTATTCCAAAATGAACTACAATACGAGTATCTTATCACATGTAGCATGAACATTTTCTTTATTTTTTTTTGGACATTCAATTGTAGGGTGTGGTCATTGTTCGTCTGAAATATCGTTTAATATCTAATAGCTCGGAGAGGTGTTGTTATTGTTGTAGTGAAACGCTCGGAGAGGTCCTACCCGATGCTGACTGGGCTTTGATACTATGTACATACTTAACCTCAGCTTACACAGCCATTTAAGTTTTGGTAGATACCCAGTTCAGACAAAGCGGCGTAGGTGCAGCTTCTTTTATGCTGTCGAAGGCTACTTACAAATCGACGAAAAAAAAATTTTGGCGCATTGTGAATTGTCAATGTTGTATTTGCCAGGTCTAAAGCTACATTGATAAGGATTTATCAGTTTGTTGACCATTCGCTCGATGGGACTTTATAAGCGATATTAATTAGGCTCGTAACATGCTAATTGTGCAGATTATGGGATTAATTTTTAATGGTTTGGGCTCAGCACGCTTAGGCTGCATTCTTCGGACATGCATTCATACGACCATATTTTGCATAGAAGCCGATGCATGTACCTTATCAGTTCTTCCCCAAAACTTAGCGCACAAGTTCGCTAGACGAAAAAAATTAAATTTTTTACACATTTGTACAGCGAGCAGCTACGTTATGGTTAGTTTTAAGGTGTACTGGTTATACAATAATAAAAGGAGGGATGATGATTTAAATGATTGCTTGCCATAACGTTGCGAGTACAAATAAACTTACAAGCTATGATAACTGATATAACGAAAACCTCTCCAAATATTTAAAAGAAACGATACAAACTTTTCCATTAACGTTAAATTTTCGTTAAGATGCAACATCGGATGAAGTATTTTTGTAAATCGGTTTTGAGTAGGTTACCCTTCAATTGTTGTCTGGTGCTTCTTCTTCAATTTAATAATTCACAAGTGTGTTGACAGGCTGAGAGTTGAATTTTCGTGTGCGGTGGTGTTTTCCAATTTTTCACGATTCCATACAATTAATTTGAATATGTCTTAATATAATTGATTTTATCACAATGTGTTATAATTCTACTTAATCTTCTATGCCGATATTTTTGACAACAAAAAAATAAAGATTATTGAGAATAAATCATATGCACTGCAGCAATTCTTTATGTTTGGGGACACCCGAGTGATATATTTTTAACAGCGGTTTGATAGAATTTCGGTTTCTGCGAAGATGTCGTTTGCATTTAAGATAGATAAAGCATTAAAGGCGAATTTGTATAAAATTTGTCGTCTTTGTGGAATCGATAGAGATGAAAAATTTGAAATATTAGACGCTGAGGACAATGATGAGCAACAGCCACTGGATTGTGACGGCGAATTGAAACTGCACCAAAAAATTATACAATGCATTGGGATTACTGTAATAAATGATGTTCCCTGATCCTAGAGGATTCAATATATATTTTTTTTAAATTACTTTACAGGTTTGCAAAGATGATAAAATGCCACAAAGTGCTTGCGGTCTTTGCGTGGACAAAATCAATGATTTCTATGAGTTTCGTGAAATGTGTTATGCCACAGATGTACAGACTAGAAAATTGCTCGGATTGAAGGGCGAGTCTCAGAAAAAAGTAAGCAGCATATTTTGATTTTATGTGAATATTTATAAATCTTCAATTACTTATTTTAGATTGTAAATCCCGACGTCAAACCCATTATAGATATAAAGGAAGAAACCATAGGGAAACGGGGTCGTAAACGCAAGCCAGAGGAACCAATAGTAAGGTTAGAAGCCACCGAAGTTAAGCGGGAAACTAATCCCGTAGGGAATATTACAAAAAAACAACGCTTAAATGAGCCGCCTATAGAAACAAAGAAGAAAGGGAAACTTGGAAAACAAGTTGACAAAACGTTAAAACCCAAAGAGGAAATGTAAGTATGTATACACATATACTCAAATAGTATTATTATTGAAAAAGGGTCTTTATTGAAGAGATCGAAATAATGAAATGAGTATAGTCTCTAACTTGTGTTATAGTGCCATATTTGCCCAGAAATATGTGTTTTTATAACAATTTCAATAATTTATAGAAAAGAAGAACCCATGGAAGCTGAAAAACCTTCAACTGCAAATAGCAATATAACGAAATTTCGTCAAACGTGTAACATATGTAGTGAGCGTTTTGGAAGCAAGTTAAAGTTAGATCAACATGTAGCGGCTAACCATCTGCCTAACATTCCACGTTACTATTGTACAGCTTGCAATGAGACCATTAAAAAGACAAACGATATCAAAAGCCATCAGTTATGGCATAAATTATCAAAGACACCCTACATGTGTGGACATTGCGGACAATTACTGACTAGCTCATATATGTATTCCAGGTATATTAAAAGCTAAAAATTATAATCTAATTAGATTTTCAAATAAAACTAAACATTTTTTTTTAGACATCTTCGTGACCATACTGTGGAGATTCCACCGAATCTGTGGATACTTGATCGTGAATGTCCCCAATGCCATCAAACGTTCTTAACAAACTATCTCTATAATACTCACCCATGTGCAGTAAGAACTAAAAAATGCGCGGGGTGCAATCGCCAATTACGTAACGAGCTGGAATATCAGCGCCATGCAGCACATTGCGCTAAAGTTTATTTGAATTATTCGAAACATATACCAGCTGCTGCTGTAGCTGCAGAATCCACAATTCGGATTAAAAATGAAAATGATGTCGAAGCAGCAGCAGCTGAAGCTCTTGTCCGAACAGTTGGTATAACTTTGGATATGGCACCTATAGTATCGCTAACTCGTATTTCGACGCCAGAAATTCTGGCAGCAAGCCAAGGTAAAGATTTAGTAGATTACACCAGTGAAAATGCTGCAGGATTGGCTGAGGAAGGAAAAACACCAGGAAAAAAGAGTACTAAAAAGGGGGTCTCTCGTAAGGATCTCAAGAGGGTAGATGATCTCTTAAAATCTACATTAGATGCTCTCGTTAGCATTAAGCATGAGCCGGAAGTGCATGTAGAAGTCGAAGGCGAAACACCGGCACCATCCGCTACAACTGCCAATAAAGAAGATGAAACAGCGGTTGGAGATGATGATCGTTTCAATCAAAACGATGATTTTCATCATGCCGATGATGATGATGATGATGATGATGATGAAGATGATGATGATGATGACGGTGACGAGAACAATGTTAGTGCTGCTAGCAGCACTATAGGCATAAAGCAGGAGCAAGTGGAAGATGGTGTTTCGCCAAATGCTATACATGTTAAGCAGGAAGTTGTTGATGTTGACAACGATAATCCGGCACCAGCAACGAAAATGCCAGTATTAAAATTGAAAATTAAAAAAGAACATGGTACGTTGAATTCTTCTATAGTTGAAGTGCAAAGCGATAGAGCAGAAAAGAAAAAGAAGAAGAAGAAGCGAAAAGAGGCAGAACGCTCCCGAGATAAAACAGTAAGTATACATTCAAAAGTGGTCGTATTAATTTTTGGTTACATTTAGATAATTGCGTTTCAAATCTCGCATGTGAAGAAAAGTGTAATTGTTGTGCTGAAGCTTTTTTCGTATTTGTGTACAATACAAACGTAAAATAAGTATTGTTACTTTTAAAGATATTATTTAAATTAATTTTTATTTCTTATTTTCTTTAGTCGGATATTAATGAACATCCTCAAGAGGCTTCTACACAGCCTACTGAAGCCGAAGCGCCACTCGATAAAGAGTCAAATTCAAATATTTTGAAGCCTATCAAACAGGAACGGTTAGACGAAACAGATGAAGATGATGATGGCAATAAAACAGACAATAGCGAAGCGATACCTACCGTCATGACCACTATACCAATACCACAATTCCAAATATCTGCTATTTCTAGTGGTGTCGATTTTGGCGATACAGCGGCTTGTGAAAAAGAGTCAGCAGATGTTGGAGTTGGTGTAGCTACAGCGCCGGTGACACTTCAAACTACTGCTGTGGAGGAAGAAATTGAAGACGTCAAACCGAACAAAGCTGAATTAGATCGTCTATTTCAAATTACTAGTGTAAGTTGTGGTGTGCAGATGGAACATGAACAAGAAAATGAAACAGATAACGATACAGATTGTAGTACCGAAGATACCATCTCTGCCAGGGAAAGCGTTGCGCAAGAACCAACCAAAACTGATACCGTTAGTAATGTTGTTAAACGGAAGTCTGTTAAAACCTCGTCTAAAGTTGGAAAACACAAATCAAACGACCAAAAGTCGCAATCAACGCGGTCGGCCAAAGCATTCAAATCAACTTCAGGTATCAACAAGCCCAACATTAGTGGTGTTGCTGAGTCTAATACTTCTGAGCTTTCAAATATTCAAATTAAACCCGAGCCCGTTGATGCTGGTTATGAAGATGTTTACAATGCTTATGAATCAGCAACAAATTCCTCAGTGACCGAAACTGAGCCTGCCAATGAAGGATTGTTCATGAGAGAAATTTCTGAGCAGGAATATTTGAATAATATTGATTTCACCAATATACAAATCAAGCAAGAAAAAGATGTCGATGTAGCCGATGTGGAGATAACAAACACACACATCATGGCGAATGCCCTGCCCAATGGTATGAGACGTTCGAATGGAGAAGAATCTCAATATACCGATGGTGATAATACAGATACTTCGGATAACGAAGAAACCGACGACGATGAGGATGATGAGGAAGAAGGTGATGGCAATGACGATTGGGTAGGCATTAAACAAGAAAATGAAAAACGCGAATATCGTGAAATTGAGTTACCGCCTTTGCTGTCGACAGAAAATCACGAGACAACTGAGGAAGGCACAAACAATAAACACCAGTCAAAAGCACACAATGATGATGATGATGACAGAAACGATTTATCTTCTTGCTCGATGGAGGGTAACAAAACGCCAGAAAATCATGCATTATGTGAATTGGATAAGCCTACAACAAGTACATTAACGACCGAAGATAGGCAAAACTCTCCACCGCCATTCATTATAACCGGCGTTTATTGTCAAGCGGAGGATGGAGAAAATGGAATTAATAACGCAAAACCCACACTTCCAAAAGAAGCAGATGTGCAGTATTCCCTTGGTGTACTTGAGCCACCACCAGCAGAAGTGCCAACATTGAAAATTGCCAATATCCTTTCTGGTTGTTCAGTTAGCTTTAATGATCTATCGAAAAACGATGACTTACTAACTGTAAATGTACCAGCAACATGGACGGATGAACCGATGGATGTTGGTGAGGAGACAGAAGGCGGTACAATCGACACAACCGTTCCTACTGATTCCCTGCATACTACAATAGCACAGCAATCAGCAGTTGAAGCAATGGATATACCGCCAGCCGTAGAGACGATGTGTTTAGAGATAAATCAAGGCAAGGAAATGCTACTGAATGCTCAACCATTTCTTGATGGTAGTGCGGAAACTTTGACGGCAATCGATACAACACAAATGCTGTTAAGCTCAAATGTACCCATAGGTGAGGATGTGCCACTGCAGAGTAGTGCCGCAACATTTAATGCAGCCAATGCAGGTTTAGTTGAGGAGGCACAAAATATGCTAAATCAAGAAGTTGTCGAAGCACAAGCAAATCAACGTTTAACACTTGAATCTGCCACCACACAATCTCTTACACTTACTGAGCCGACACAGAATATCGAGGAGACAGAAAATCTTATGAACGAAAGTGTAGCCGAGACGCAGAGACAGGAGCGACAGGCGACAGCCGAAATTGGCGATAACGTGCTATTGCGACGCAACGATGTTGAATATAGTAGTGGAAGTAGTAGTAGTAACAGTAGGGCTGGTAGAACTAGCCAAAGCATAGTGTTCAATAATCCTTTCCTGCTCGACGATAGTAATATAAATGAAATTGCCGAAAATCACAATAATGCAAATATCGAACGAGAATTACAGGACGATATTGGTGGTGCTACAACTGCGGCAAATGCATCGGAATCCAGTGAGAATGTTATTCCAAGACAGGGCGATGCCGAGGCAATACGTCTGAATATGAATGATGTAACATGAGAACAATAGTAGTGTAAGCAAATGGCCATACATTTTTAATAGCGTATGCTAAATGTGTGAAAATATACAACTAGACAGTATACAAAGAGCAAAGGTTCTATGAGTATGAGCATATTATTGGTAAATATTATTGTATTATTGGTTATATTAGTTGGTTTTAAACATTGAGATTTATTTAAGCTTCTGTTTTCCAAAGGTTTTTTATTTTATGCTTTACACATATTAGCTTTAACTTGTTTAAAAAAAAAAAATAAAATATATATATATATATATATATATATATATATATATACAATTGCAAAAAATCAAACATCTACATAGTTTTTTTTTCTAAAAAATATATATAATTTACAATCAAATTAAGTATAAGCACTAATCTAATTTACCATGAACAGCTGCAATAGCTTAAATCGAATGACGTACTGTAGCATACATAAATATGTTATCTACACACAAATTATGTAATTTCGAGTTAAGAATATTTTAATACTTATCGCTTAAACAGACATGTAGATGTAATCATTTCCTACGGGTACATTAAAATGTAAGCATGTAAGCAAATGAGCACAATTATTTCATTAATGTGCATCAAAAATTGTACCATTTATTTATGTGCGCAAAGGATTATCATGCTTGCCCAGCAATCCGTGTATATTTTATTACACCACACATACACATTTATCCATTAGTGTTTAGCAAGGTATTTTGAAAAATTTGTAAATCGAATGCGTGATGAGGTACATCATTATAAATATATTCATTTTATTATGTAAGCAAAATTTAATAAAAGATGTACACATAACACCTACTACATACATAAATAATTAATATAATCAGAATATATGGTTCACCTAATAATTACGTAAGACACAAAATTAATAGTGTTATGGATAATTGATTTGAAATTGAAACAAATTATTATTGTATGATAAATATAATATAAAATAAGATTCATAATAATAAATAATTTTATAAAATAGTTTATTTATTTGTTCTTCTTCTTTAGCGGCATAGACATTGCTTTCGCGATTATAGCCGAGTTGGCAACATTGCGCCATTCATTTCTTCTTTTAGCTATTTGGCGCCAATTGAAAATACCAAGTATAGTCAGGGCCATGTCTCAGAACCGTATATCAGGACGTGAACGACGAGCGATTTGGAGGACTTTACTATACTTTTCGATTGCCTATTCAGTCCAAAGTAGCACCTGTTGTGAAGAGTGATTCTGGTTGGATTTCCAAGATACACGAAACTATCTTGAAGGTTATGACTTGCCTGCCATAGTCGGGAGTGCGATGACTGTTTGCTTGTTGACCGGAGATATTTTGTCTTGCCTTCGTTCACTACCAAACCCATATGCTTCGCTTTTTTATCCAGGCTGCAGAAAGTAGAACTTACGTCACGGTAGTTGCGGGCATTGAAGCCAATGTCATCCACTTGCACCACGAGCTATACACCTCCAGCAATTTATTACTTCGAGCAATATATATCACCACATTGTCTGAAATTTCGCTTGGTATCGAACGCCTAGAAGAGGTTCTGCCCGATCCGGAACTTTTGGTGTTACTTAAAGTACTCATCTCGTTTAAATTTTGAGGGGATACCGTAATCAGGTGGTGCGTGTTGATCCTCTTTTCACGGATTTTTTCCAAGATGTGACGCGTAGTGAATATCTGATCAAGTTTGTAGACGATGGGCTTTGGTCTTTCATACAATACGCTCGTCTTAGTGCGATATTTAAGAGGTTTATCCCACGGTAATTGGTATAGACTGTGTGATCGCCCTTTTTGTGGATTGGGAAGAGCACAATTACATAGGTTCTAATCGTCGAGCATGGTTTTATCCGAAAATATTTCACAAAGAAGCTGCTGCATGCATCTTGATAGCTCTTCAAAGCCATGTTCCAATAGCTCAGCCGGTAAGCCGTATACTCCATTCGCTTTGTTGTTCTTTAAGAGAGCAATCGCTATTTGATCTTCGTCAGGTCTATTCCGTCATCATCAATTTTGGTTACAGATTCGCCATCTGCGGGTGTTTCGATTTTATTACCATTCAGTAGGCTGGAGAAGTATTCCCTCCATGAATTTAGTATACTCTAAACATCATTTACTAGATTTATTTATTATTGTGATATTTTACGAGCAAGCAAAATGAGCATGTTTTTGTATTTGTTGCTGTGGTAGTAGTTCTCTTACTTAGGAGCAGGCAAGATTAGTCCTAATCATTGAGGTCATCTAACGGGTAGTCCACGGAGGAGGAAGCCAGGGGCACCTCTCTGGTTGTTTCGTGTCGTGCGGGGACTTATTACATGCAAGGATTGGTAGAAGTGTACAATATCCAAATCTAAGTAGAGACAGTATTACGGGGGACTCTCGAGGCAGCTTGAACTTTTCGTCTGCAATAGAATGGTGTTTAATGCCTGTCGGTAAGACGGCTTATCCAGCAGTTGTTGTAGGTGGTGCTGAATGTATTCCTTTAAGTCGAGTCCCCTACGGCAGCATCTCTGCAGGAATTGCTTGCACAGCAAAGCATTAAGCTCCTTAATACGCAACATAGATGCTTCGCGAAGTAAGGATGCTTCTTCATCTGCATTTCGCTAGTCCCCGGTGCTCGGATAGGAGTAGCATAGTTTATTACTGGGCGAAGCTGCAGGCTGCATAACCCCGTTTAGATCAACAGGTAATAATAAACCCACGTTATGGGCATAACCCCGTTTAGATCAACAGGTAATAATAAACCCACGTTATGGGCATAACCCCGTTTAGATCAACAGGTAATAATAAACCCACGTTATGGGCATAACCCCGTTTAGATCAACAGGTAATAATAAACCCACGTTATGGGCTCGCGATCAGGTCCCTAACCCCCATTTTCAACCGACCAACCAACCAAAATTGGGACACATTACAGTCAATTAACACCAAGCGACAAATGTAATAAGAGCAAATTTTATTTATACCTTCTGAAACAAACAAAATCTTTAATTGACTTTTAAAAATTATCTCGAAAATTGTGTGGCCTGTTAAAATTGATTCCAAGTAAATGGAAAAAAACTGATTAAATTAAAATATCACAGTAAATAATTTCGTATAACATTTAAAATCTCTTAGTACCCATCTAAAAGTTTCGTATTTCCGGAATTTCATTAAAAAACCAGTTCGGAGGGCCGTTACAGATTTGATATGTTCTAAAGAAATATTCTCGAGAAATTTGTACCAAGAGTCTCCTTACATAACAGCCTTATACGAGGAAATGGTAAGTACTTACGAAGGATATACAAAATCATCCCCTGGAAATATGCAACATTTATTTTCCATTTTACTCGGTGTCAAATTTTATACTTTTTCTGAAATCACCTTAAGACACCAGCCATGAAAAAGTTAGAAAGTAGGTGGTAAGTTGAAGATTTTGTTACTGGTTGCCTTTCACTATTTTTGCAATATATACGGGAGGATGAAATGATTGTACCCACATAAATTTACAGTGTTTTCGATTGAATACCCTCAACTTTGGGTGGGCGTTTTTTATATTGGATGAGTGCATAAGTTCGTGCCCGATTTCAAGTGCAAACTAAAATTGAAATTTTTTGAAGAATGCGCTTTTATTAATCAATTATGTATTCGCCATCATGTTCGGCAATCCACTCCCAACGTTCAACCAATTTACGGATGCCTGATTCATAGAAATCGCGCGGTTTCTCGTTGAAAAAGGTGTCAANTACAACGATATGGAATATGTATATATTTCTTTCACGAGCGCCACTCTCAAACGATTCGAACGGCATCCAGCGGAATCGGGCATGAACTTATGCACTCATAATATTTGTTACCTTATAGATGGAGTAGCGCTAGTTAACCCCCACACTGCGCAGTAGATGTCAATTAATCTAGAATTTAAACGACAAATTGCATATCTTTGGTAATTTCAATAATTTCCCTCCTTTTTATTTAATATAATTTATTAACTTGTTTACACATACAGATAATGGTAATTAATTGGTTTGATACATGTTAATAATTTAAATTAATATAATGCAATATAATATTTTACCTGCACAACTTTATGCATATTTTTATTATTATTTATTAGGGTTTTTTTTTTTTATAATAAACATATTTTCATATCAGCATTTTAAACAGGTTTGTATACAGAATTGGTTGAAAAGTAGTTATTGATTTTATACTTGAAAGAAATGACTAAAAGTGTTGTTGCATTAAATGCTTTTATTATTATTATATTAGTACTAGGAATAACATAAGTATTGTTTAACTTATCAATTAGCTATAAACTAAATTAAACTTTATGTTTTATAATTAAAAGATTATTTAAAAATAGTTTAAAGGTACATACATATATGCATAATATTTAAAACAAACATATATGCACATATACATATGTATTATGTGACTGCAAGCATAAAAGCTTTCGACGTAAAATAAATCAACACATATACATAAATGTATCTATAAGAAAAACTTGATGTTTATTGAATTTAGATTTCACTTTGTTTGTTGGTATTGTTTGGTATTTATACATCTAGATTTTAAACGTTTATAATTCACTTTTCTTTATCGGGGAGTAAATAAATTCAGCAAATATCAGCTGCGTGTGCATTGCGTATATTTCAATATGTATTTATATTGCTCAGTGTGTGTAGTAAGTTTACTGCTCTGCATTCAATGCAATTATTAATTATATTACTGTAATAATTTTATTTTTATTTTATTTTTTATTTACTTAGTTTTTGTTTTTTTTCTCATACATAGATCGGTATGTATTCATAGTGAGTAGCATTTTATGTAGTAGGTAGTGTGGTAATATAATTCCTATTTATGCATATACGTAGATACAAATATACATATGTACTAATATTTAATGTAAATACATAGGTATACTTGTAATGTTCATTCAGTCAACAACTTTTCTCATATTATGCAATACACCATCACAATTTCCTTGCTGGTTTCCATCAAAAATAAGTTGTATAGATAGATATTGTATAAACATACTCGTACATATGTACATACTACATATAATCTATATGTACGTGTATATGGTATTGTTCTTAAACAAAAGTGCTGCTAAAGTTGCATACTTGAAATTTTTCATTCTTTCCCGTTATGTTTTTATTTGAGTAAAGTAGGCACGTTTTCACAATTTCGAAAAGTATGGTTTTCGAATTTTCGAATACACTAAAACAAAAGAAAAAAAACAAAAAAACGATAATTTTTTTTTCAATTATAGTCACCCATCAGCAAACTCCAATCATTGTGTTATGCTTCCAACTAAACTCTGATTATTGTTCACGAACAAATGTTACAAAATTTGGTACATATGAAATATTGTAAACGATTTTTTTAGTGTTTTTTTTTGTTTTTTTTTTTTGAATTTTATATTATTTTTTTTTGTTTTTAAAATATTTAGTAAATGGATAAATTTTTGGCACACCCTAATTTATGTATCATGTACATATGTACAATTCACCACATTTTTAAAATGTAATTTTATGATAACTTTTCTTTTATATTTTTTTTTGTTTAAAATAGTAAATTTTTAACGTCGTATTTTGATGGAGTTGCATGTTTTAAACAACTCGTTGGATTTTTATAGAGCAGAAATATTCTCTGCGAGCTATTTTTTCATAGAAATTTACAAAACTCTAATAGAATCGCAACCCATTGCCTCTCGCCTCTCAGTCACGCTAAGTAAAATAAAAGAAAGTTAATGCGGCAATTAAATCGTGACATGAAAATCTTTTCAAAATAAATGCAACAGCCAAAATAAAAATTTCATTAACATTCTGTGTTAGCCGTGTATGTGTATGTGCTGATATACATACATATAATATGCAATTTTGCTGATATTGAATTAAAATATTCATTTTCAATTAATCTCTAATCAAAGCTGTGCTCTAAGATATGTTAACTTCCAGCAGATTAATTCAGTTTGTTGTATGTCAAGTTATTGTTGTAATTTAATACTTTTATTTGTGTTACACAAAAAGCCATTGTGGAAAAAATTCCTCAATATTGTTGATATATGACATTAAAAACCAATTTGATTAACAAAAACAGTTTAAATTAGTTTCCAATAGTTTCCCATTATGGGTATTTGCATAAGATTAACAGACTTGATATGGTTATATATGTTTGCAATATATTAATTTTCTCAAAAATAAAAGTTAAAGTTTTTATCTCGCCACTGCATGCAAATATGACCGTAGGTGTCGATAGTTTAATGTTCACTTCTTGTTAGGTCAAGTTAAGGGGTTACATCTAGTTAGAATTTTCAAAAAATCGATTTTTTTTAAATTCCATTTTCGTAATGTATATGTCTTCAAGTAAATACTCTAAAAATTACAAGTCGATCCGACTGTTATTTTGGAAGTTACAGGCATATCTGTGACGACGCGTCAGAGCATTTGAAAGCGCTTTTGAAACTTTAACCTCGTTTTTCTCAAAACTATGTTTTTCAAGTCGGTGACCAAGATTTCTCGGAAACGGCTAAAGCGATTAGTCTCAAATTTTTACACAGGCTTTTGAAAAACATTGTCTAGTATTTAATCAAAGCTTTTCCATTACTGATGAAAAGTTTATTTTTAATCCGCAATTCAAGACCAAAATTATGGAGAAAAATTGAATTTTTTTTTAAAGCCGTCATTTTGTCAAATAAAAGTTTTTGGCTTATTCCATCGATTAATCACAAGATTATACATTACTTTAACGAAATCCGTTCGATTTTTTCATTTCAGATGATTCACTTCAGAAATACAGTGGTCACCGCAAAACGCCTGTTTTGGGAGGGGTCCCTGGAGATCTGCTGTAGCAGCTTCAAAAACAATTATTTTTATAAATACAAAATTTCTAACTACTCTTCAAAGGTGCCATAATATGTGTTCAAATGCTCAAAATAATAAAGCTAAAAGTTTCCTAGTGAAAAATGTTTGAAAAACCTCTTTTTTTAGGTCTCCTAACTAGATGTAACCCCTTAAGAGGTTCTCGCATACGAAACGCATACAAAGAAACTCAATTTGCATGCCATTTTTTTCTAGTAGCGCTAAAACAAATTAAATTATAGGCATGTTATCAAATTATACAAATTAACAATGTGGTTGATAAATTAAATTGTTAAATATTTGTTTTAAATAGTTTTACTGACTCAAAAGGAGCTTTAAATATTATGCTGTACCCTCTCACTCGTAAGCAAATAGTTTTTTTTTTCAAGATATTAATTTTTTTTTTCTTTTTTAGTTCAAAGTTTTACATTTCAATACACATTTCGCATGCCGAAATAATCAGTTTTCAATAAAGTGCTGTCGTTAAAATACAAGTCTCACACACATATTAATCTAGAATAAGAATTTTATGTACTGTTTCAAGAACTCATGCATATACAGTTTTATAATTACACAATTGTAAAAGTTCTAAAAATTTTTCACGTTTCTTTACACACACTCTGCCATTCACCATCTTAGCGATTTCCCCTTTTAAGATACTAGTGTTATTTAATTATTGTTATACAATTAGATTTTAATACTCGCATTTTTTATTTAACTCTTTACACTCACATTTTTTTATTATATTTGTTTTAAATGAAGTTTTTTTACTATGTTCGCTAGTTTTGAAATAAATTTTCATAAATTCATTCCCTCTAGCGAAACATTCCCTAAGACTATCACTTTGTTTTATAAGTTTTTATCATCAAACGTCAAATATCTTTTCATTTTCATTAATTTTAGCTAATTAAAAGTAATATTATATTATATTTTAATAATATTTAATTTTAATTGAGCAGCGATATGCATTTTACATCTGTACCATGTATATATAAGTATGCTTGCAAGTATACGTTTATACTGTCAAAGAGATATTTAAGTAAATTAATTTAATATTTTATAGAAATAGGTTATGTTCAGTATTTTGAAAAAAAAAACAGTTAAAACCATAGCAATGCCACTCATATAAAATCATTATTACACATGAAATTTGTTAACATCCATAAGTAGTTTTTATAATATTACATATGTGACTACATAAATTTTTATTTATAATTCATCCTTGTTTTTGACTCATTTCATTCATGCAATTTGTATATCAGCGATCGGCAACAATTGCTTTTGAAAAATCCAATAATCAAAAATATAGGTATGTATATGTATGTAAGAATAATTTTAGATAGATTTCCATATTATACAATATATACACATATATAAAGTTAAAGAAGTTAGCTTTTAATTAGTTAACGTAATATCAATGCAATATTTTGACTTTAGTACCAATTGGTTTGCATCGAAAATACGTATTATTTAATATTGTTAACGTCCAGACGCTTAACATCACAACTCTAATTCAGTTTGTTTAGCGTTTAATCCTCCCAATCATCGTCGTTGCCCGACGAGTCGTCGTTTTCATCATCTGACGGCTGCATAACGCGTTCCCTTTCGAGCAGTGCACGTCTTAAAGCAACCGCCAGCTCATCACTGCCAGCTGGTCCAGAGCCGTCATCGCTATTGCGATTGACTGGCGTACGATCATGTGATGGTTTTAGTTCGAAGCCACCGCGTATCTCCGACATAAGATCACTATGCGAGTCACCGCTGCCTGTGCTCAATGCTGCCGTATCGACTTTCTGCAAATGTATAATAAAAAAAAAGAAAATTAAAAACACTATTAGTTAAGCAAAATATGAGAGTAAGCAAAAAATTTGTATTTACCTTCAATGTCGTGCCTTTACGTATGCTCTCCAGGAGCGCACTGCGTACGTCGGGCACAACTGGGAGCTGCGCTATTGGACGTTTTGTCTCAGCCGCTGGCGCATCTGTTGTCGTAGGTTCTGCCATTGCCGGCGGTGGTGGTGGCGGTGGCGGCGGCGGTGGTGGTGGCTGTTGTGAGATAGAACTTGTAGAAGAAAGCTTTTGTGGAACAAAAATTAAGACTTACAGCTGCAACTGGTGCAGTCACCACAGGCTGTGGTGGTGCTGGTGGCGGTGGTGCAATGCTTATGGGGGGTGGCCTTGTAGGTGGTGCTGGTGCACGTGACGCGCCTGGTACTGTTGTAGGCACCGGCGGTGGCGGTTGTCTCGCCGGTGGTGGTGGCGGTGGTGCAGTTCTTTGGCTTACAGTTGTGCCATTCTGGTGCTAAAACGTTGTGAAATTATAAAAAAAAAATTAACTTAACTATAAAAGTTTGGAAATTCAAAAACTTACATGCTGATGTCGACTTGGCACTGGTGGCGGTGCCGAGGGCGCAGTCGCTTTTGGTGATTCAACACGTTCCGATTTTACCGACGCAATCACATTATTACTCTGTATGAAGTCATAGATGAATGCGCGTGTATCACGATCCTTTAGCTCATTTTCCGATACACCAGCTTTGGCAAAGAAACTTGTAAGCACCTCGTCATTCTCATTGCCCGTCAAATCGAAACCCTTATCTGCATCCCAACCGACGTGACTGATGTGTACGAAATTGGTTGGCGTACTTATGTCGGCTTTTGTAACTTTTCGTTTCTTATCCTTGCCGGCTAGACCAAAACCACTGCTGAGGAAATTTTTAGATGGTGCTACCGGGTTGGGTGCAGGTGTTAGTGTGACGGAATTGATCTTTTGTGGATGGTTGCGTAGTTGAACGCTTGAATCTGTTGTCGTTTGACTAATAGCGGGCGTAGATCTCATTGAATCCCTTGTGACCGGTGGAGGTACGTTTGGCGCTGCTTGTGCCTTAGCGCGATTACGTTTTTCTATGGCAAACGGAAAGATAAAACAGTTTTAAAATATCACTGGCTTTGATATTGATGATGTATGTATAAATAATTTTTGGTACCTAATTTCCTACGATTTCTCGTTTCAATTGTAGTGTCCACAGCCCTGTAAAATGAATCGCACTCCTCCTCCGATACAAAGTTTAATCCCACGTGTCCATCCTGGAGGAAAAAATCAATTACATTTTAGTTTATATTTGTGAATAAGAACAAAAGATTGTAGTCCAAAGGGATTTTTTGTTGATGTCAACACCGATTTTCGAAATTTATTAAAAAAATTTAAACTTTAATTAGCTTTTCTGGAAATTCGTGATTCGAAATCATTTATCTCCTTATATTTGGTTTATTTGTCCAACAAGAATAACCGCCCCCATCTTTCCTTTCTCTAGAAGAGAGGCCGGAGCAATGTTCACGCTGCCCCACCAGAAGGTTGGTTTTGGGAATGTCGATTTAGTTCGAGTGAATATGGCAATCGAAATTAACTATATGACTTTAATACAAACAAATTTTCCACGAAGTTAAGGAAATTCACTTCAATATGCTTATGTGAATCGCTCCCTGCTAATAGTCTGACAGAGATAGAGGTTTGTACAGTGGTCTGCTGACTCATTTTGATATTTGCTCCTTCTTGGTTCTATAGTTCATCATGACGATCTTTTTGAGGTTCAGAAAAATAAATTTTTCCAAAGTGAATGGTCTTCATCTTTTTCTATACTTCTAAATGAATTCTATTCACTTTATGGCGATGGTAGGTTCTAATCAGACTTTAAATGTTAACATCAAATTCTTCGTCAAAAATGCTCGGACTACCACAAAATTCAATACTTCGTAATGAGTACCTTGGATTATCTACTTGCCCCGACGTCCATAACAGGTTCAAAGACAACGACTCGGAGAGTACCTTCCCGATACTGACGGAGTTTAAGTTGTCGTTTAACGTCAGTTTTCACAGTCGTTTTAGTTTTGCGTCGATACCAAATCTGGACATATCAGCGTAGCGTCATTTCAAGTGTGGCTTTAAAAAGGACAATGTGGTGTGTGTCGATCCTCTTTACATAGGGGTTTTCAAAGATTAGGCCCTTGGTGAATATTTGCTCAATTGTAGATTTTCCAGCTCTAAAGCCGCACTGATAAGGTCCAATTAGTTTGTTGACGAATAGATTTCACATAATAAGCCCGATAGTACATTGTTTAGGAGATTGAAGAAGCTTATCTCACATTAATTGGTGCAGGCATTGGGGTCTCTGTTCTCGTGGATTGTGCAGAGCAGACCGATTTGCAATTGTCGCGAATGCTTTCGTGCGAGAATATTCTGCAATTACTCTCGTCTCCATTCTCGGTTTCTATCAGACCCCGCATGTGTTTTGGTGGATCACAACCTTTCGAGGTATATGACATCATTCATCAATTTCGTCAATCTAAACAGAGATCTGTAGTACTGGAGTAATGCGATAAGTGTGGCTTAGAGCACAAATGGTTTTCATAGAACAGAGCGATTGAGGTACTTATGCCTACAGCACACATTCCTGGCTTTTGGTCAATACTCTGCCGATAGATAATATTGGTCTAGTAAAAAGTTCGTTCGGTTTTTTTGTTTTATTGATTTTTCAAAATATGATAACTTTGTCTACATTTCCGCGGTTTATGTGTAATATACGCCGTTTCGTTCGTAAACTTGTTGTCAACGAGATGTCAACTTCATTATATCCCTCTCGTAGAAGGCTGCTTTCCTATTGGCAAAAAAAACTCTGAGAGCCAATTTTCACAGGCCTCTCTTGAGGCCAACTTCTCACGATTAAGCGCGTTCGCCATGGACAGGAAAAGATGGTAATCACTTGGTGCCAGGTCCGGACTATAAAGTGGGTACATTAGGACCTCCCATCCGAGCTCCTGGAGCTTCTGGCGCGTCCCCAAAGACGTGTGTGGTCAAGCGTTGTCCTGATGGAACAAAATTCGGTCTCTGTTGATCAAAGATGGCATCTTCTGGATGAGCGCTGCCTTCAAGCGGTGCATTTGTTGGCAGTAGAGTGCCGAATTGAGCGTTGGCCATAGGGGAGCAGCTCGTAGTAGATGATTTCTTGCCACTCCCATCAAACACACAGCAAAACCTGGTGCATATTTGGCATCGAAATTACCGGAACGGAACCTAGCAAACCAATTTTGTGCTACACGTTCGCTTACAATATCGGACCCATAAACTAAATTAAAATTTTCAGGTGCCTTTGGTTGCTTTTTCGCCTTGATCAAAGAAAAATTGTAAACTATATTTTCACTTTGCTGGTGTCCATCTTTGAGTCAATCAATCGAAAAACTGTCAAAGACAAGTTTTTAGCCCGAATAAACACGTCTTATATTATGACATGATGCGACACGCAACACTAGTACTAACACCATCTCTTAATAAAAACCGAACGAACTTTTTACTACATCTTATATACGGGATTATTATGCGCTACATCATTACCTCGTAGATCGTTCTGTCTCGTTGGAATGTTGCATGAATTGAATTTCGCTAATCAGTGTCTGGAAACATATCTCGTTTTAAAATACTTACATCAAATATCGACTAGACAAGGTTTTAAAGAGGCGGTTATTTAAAGAACTGTTTGAGAAGTTGGTAAAAGAATCTTCCTTGAAATGGGAATATAAAAAAAAATATTTGTCACTTTATAACTTCTGTTGGCCAGAGCTCAAAGCTAGGGATATGTTGTTTATTTATATCCATCAATTGTGAACTTAAGGCTTGAGAAAAAAAACTTCAAAGCCTTGCTAGCTTTTTTATCTAAGCCGTAAATATTGAATGAGTGTATAAGTTCGTGCCCGATTCCGCTGGATGCCGTTCGAATCGTTTGAGAGTGGCGCTCGTGAAGGAAATATATACAAATTATATATCGTTGGAAAGGTGACAGTCCGAACTGTAAATCAAGCATAAAATAACTTCATTTTGATTTGAGTTGCTTAGTGAAAAGACGCATGGAAGATGGACAACGAAAAAGATCATATGCGTCATATATTGTTATACGAATTCCGCAAAGGAAAAACAGTAGGCGCTGCAACTAAAGATATTCGCGAAGTTTATTTGGACCGTGCTCCAGCACTCCGCACAGTAAAGAAATGGTTCGCGAAATTTCGTTCTGGAGATTTTAACCTCGAAGATCAACCTCGCAGTGGACGGCCTTCTGAGCTTGATGACGATGTTCTAAGGACTTTAGTTGCGAATAACTCACGTATTTCGACGGAAGAGGTTGCCAGTGAATTGAACGTCAACAAATCAACTGCGTTTCGTCGTTTAAAAAAGGTTGGGTACACTTTGAAGCTCGATACATGGGTGCCACATCAGTTGAGTGAAAAAAACAAAGTGGACCGTATGTCAACAGCAATTTCTTTGCTTCGACGGATCAAAAACGAACCTTTTTTGGATCGGCTCGTGACTGGTGATGAAAAATGGATCCTGTACAACAATGTTCAACGCAAAAGAACATGGAAACAGGCACACGAAGGGGCGGAACCGATGTCGAAAGGTGGATTGCATCCGATGAAGGTACTGCTGTGCATTTGGTGGGATATCCGAGGCGTGATCTATTTTGAGCTCTTGCCAGCTGGAGAAACGATCACTGCCAACAAGTATTGTCAGCAATTGGTCGAATTGAAGAAAGCAATTGATGAAAAACGTCCGATTTTGGCCAATCGCAAAGGAGTTCTTTTCCATCATGACAACGCCAGGCCACATGTTGCAAAACCGACCCTGGCCAAACTGAAGGAGATGAATTGGGAAATCATGCCGCATCCCCCATATTCACCCGACATTGCACCTTCTGATTATCATTTGTTTCGATCGCTGCAGAACAATTTGAATGGAAAAAAATTTAAAAATGTGGAAGACGTCAAAAACCACCTTGACACCTTTTTCAACGAGAAACCGCGCGATTTCTATGAATCAGGCATCCGTAAATTGGTTGAACGTTGGGAGTGGATTGCCGAACATGATGGCGAATACATAATTGATTAATAAAAGCGCTTTCTTCAAAAAATTTCAATTTTAGTTTGCACTTGAAATCGGGCACGAACTTATGTACTCATCCAATATCAGTGGTAAGACACTACTTGAGAAAGAAATCACAAAATTTTATCATTTATTTGGGTTTCACTTGAAGTATAATTTTTTTGTAATTTCACTTTCGAACCAGATCATTTATCTTAATATGTAATGATCACGGCACCGTTAACTTAGCTGACTTACCTGCCCTTGAAAGGTGAGTAGAAATGGGCGCGCTTTAATTATTTTCATAGCATCGTACAATTCATGTTCCCAAATTTGTTCGTTTTTGATCAAACAATATGCGCGCAAGAAGTACGAACGCCTCGCGCTATCCTTCACAAAGCAAACGACGCCAGTGTGTTTCTTCTTCCAATGCGAATGTGCGGAACCCTCCGTCTTGTAGATCTGCACCACAGCTGTATTCAACGTCTGCAAGATGAAAATTACACAACAATCGATTAACTTCCACTGGAATTTCACTTTCTTTACATTTTTTGCGTAATTTTCGCAAAGCAGAAATTTATAAAATCATTTGAGATGCGTTAAAATTGCAATAATAAAAATAAAAATTTAATAACAACCAAAATTAAAAGATAACCTTCTTTGGCTTGATCATTTAAATCGCTTATATATACATATATATAAATATGTGTGTGTGTGTGTGTTTTTTTTTTAAATGTTTGCGCTTTTTACGTCAGTCCTTTGCTACCGGTCATGCGCTTGTCTTTCACGACTGACCGCACTGATGCGTCTAAACTCTGACACTGCACTTTCGTTTTCATTTGGCCACTTTGCCTATTGGCTCCACAACGCGATCGATGCGCACAATGACAGCGGAAAGCCGCCAGTCGCCACAAGTGAACGAAAAGTTGTGTGGTGAGCGCTCGTGCGATAGACTTGATGAACGTATGGGTGGATGGTCGGTCGCTTGTGGACAAACATGTCTATCTACATACATATATACATACATACATACATACATACATAGGTATGTAGATGAATGGATGGATGAGCGCATCTATTTTTATGCGCAAAAATCGCTTATTTTGCATATCAATGCATTTGGCTAATGGCGCAAAAGTTGTATGGCCACAAAGCCAACATTCACTTGCAATTAACAAAAAAAGAAAAAAAAAAGTGTAAAATAAAACATTTGATGGAATAATACAAAGTGTTGTTGTGTTATTGTTTAGAGTCTACTGGTGAGCTGTATTCGCTGAAGGTGCGGAACGCGCATGCGCATGGGTACCGCCGCCGATCGGCAACTATTATTGGCCACTGTTTTGTACCATTGGATTTTGGCATTGTGGTCACGTATGTACATAAAAGTGATGGCAACATATGCGCATGTGTATGTTTGTAAAGAGACTCAACATTCGACAATGTCAATGGAACTTGTGTGTGCAATAAGTAACATCAATTACACCAACACTAGATTTGTGTTGCATAGCGACTGATTTGCTTTCTGGACAAAAGTGTATTATGAGAGTTAAAGTTGGAAACCCAGTGGAAAAGTTCCACATCTGTCTCTTCGAAAACATCGGAACGAAAGAGTAGTGCAGCTGTATCACAACGTAGGCTTGTGCAAGTTTATGGCGCATCAGCACCGATCGATATGTCATAGAGTGCTTTCGAGGCTTCAAAAATGGTTGGTTAAGCGTCGAAGCGAAATAGCGTCCTGCCTAATCCAAAAGATGAGGATCAAGAACTGTGCTAAACTTAAGCTAAATTCCCAGAATCGTTAACAGTGCCTCAGTGAACAATTTCCGTGTGGTAAAGCAGTTTGGAGTTACTCAAGAGCAAGTAAATTGGATGACGTACGAGCTCAAGCCGAGACAGATGTCGAAGGACGATATTCCACCTCGGAACGCCTTCCTGAAAGACTTCAAATGAACGGTTTTTCGAACTGGATCGCGACTGAAGATTATAAGTGGAAAGGAGAAAAAATACGATGCGAAGTCTGGTGAACGCCTGGTTCCATCGTTGTCTACATCGATGCCAAAGGAGCTAATCTATGGCTCAATAATCATGCGCTGCATGACGTTTGTAGTATGCTATGAGTTGCTAAAACCAGTCGAAACCTTTGTTGCGAAACGTTATCGACCACAATTAACGCGTTTGAGCCGTACATTGTGTGACAAAAGGCCAGAAACGCCCGAAAGGCATGATGTTGTTGTTTTGCAATATGATCGAATAAGTCCGTATAATCATGCCCGTCTGATTGCCACGTACACGTAGGCGTTGAAAATTATCGAAATCGGACAACTATAACATATACATAGGTCCCTTACACAGATTTGTTCAGAAATGAGTATTTGGTCAAAACTTTACTAAAAAAAGGAGCTCAGAGCACTTTTTCGAAAACCCTCGAGACCAGACGACTATATTACATAGCGCCCTCCTACCAATTTTTCAGATATCAGAATTATCATCTCAAAATATATTGTAATGCCATTAATTTGGCATGGACATGAAAGACATCGGGATGGTCGCACAGCTCTTCTTTCTTGTTACTAGGTATGCTGCGGGTCAAACCCAACAATCTGCGCCAATTATCGTGCCTCCTCAAAATCGCATGCAAGCTCTTATCCTTTAAATCTACGCCTGACCACATATTAAACACGAAAGACGAGCCGATATATGATCTTCGGCTAGTTAAAAGCAGCCTTCGATAGCACTAAATGGAACTACCTCCTTGCAGTTAAGTCTGAGTTATATGCGTGGTTGGAGACGATATCAAAAGAGTAGATATTTTATTAGTGTAATTTAGTGAATTTAAAGAGTAGTTTTCTGAAAACTAATATGGCAAACTTTATTTAAATAAATATATTAACGGTCATAACCTCAAAACATACTCAGAATACCTCAAATTTGATTGGTGTACTCTATAGGATTATTTTTTAGCTTCAAACACTATACCGTAAACACAGCGGAGTTTTCCCCCCACCAAAAGTTGTCTTTATTCGATTCTGTTGACACAACATATATGATTGTATGTACATACGTAGGTTTCAAGCGAATCATGAGTAATCGAACTGCTAAGATTGAAGCAAATTAGAATACGCCCAAAAGCAGGTGAGTTGATTTATTTCGAGCTATTATATAGTTGGCCCTTTGTAACCGCTGTAGCGATTTTTCGGCCGAGCTCCTCCTCCAATTTGTGGTTTTGTGTCTTGATGTTTTTCCAACAAATGGAGAGACCTACAGCTTCTACTACTAAGCCACCTACCAACGGCTGATGGTTTTTATGAAGAGCCTTTATTTCATGTCCGAAATACACTCGCGGGGTAGGGTGTGTTAATTCGCTTAAGAGTCAGATGCAGTCTGATCTTTCCTTTCAAACGAAAACATGAGCTTATTCAAAAATCAGCATAATAGAACGCTTCTCATATTTTTTGATATTTCTTGTCATTTCACCATGATTATTTTTTATCGATAAAAAGTATTTACAGTAGCTTAAGATAAATAAAATAATATTAAAGCTTTTGATGATTAGATTTTCGTTATGAAACTTATTGTCATTTACGGAGGCTATGGGCGTGCCATGTGAAACAGTTAAGAAATTAGCGTTGGTAAATGTTACGATCGTCATAGCCGAGTCGTTAGTATTGCATTTGTACGAGCCTCTCCGATCAACAACAAGATTATGAATTTTTTTTTCTAATGTGGTCGCCGTCCGGCAGGCAATGTCAAGGCCTCCGAGTGTATTTCTGACATGAAATGAAAAGATCCTCAGATAAATCTTATAGCCGTCCGGATGCGGCTCAGACCAAGCTGTAGGTCTCTTCATTTGTTGGAAAAACATCAAGATGAACAGCCCAAATTAGGAAAGGAAAAAGCTCGGACGAAAATCGATTCAGTGGTTACCAAGCGCCATAATAATAATAATAACAACAAAGTTTATTATCTTTAATAGAGAAAATGGTGTATTGGACTTATGCGACCAAACAAGATCTGATGAAAAGAGCTTCTATGAGTTTTAGATTTAAATATTTCATTCTACATTTTGACTAAATTGATTTTAGTTTGGGTAGACAAAATATTTTTTGGACTAGGTGATGATACAAAATGCATGATTATCGTGCTATATTTCACTTATTGCTTTTAACTACCGACTCACAACTGAATTTGCAGTATCATAGCAATAAACACGTATATACATATGTATTGTACATTACAAGTATATATGTAAACATATATAATTTTGACGGCGATTTATGTAATGCTATAAAATATGCAATGTGTTTGTCCGGAGCCAGTGACGACAAGAGCATAATAACAAGTGCAGAGACCGGCTATATGTATATGTATGTATGTTTGGTAGTCAATAAGTGAAAAAAATATATTACATATGCAGTAAATATGCAATAAATATTTTTAAACTCAACGGAAATTGTCGATGGCTAAAGATGTATTGTCTACTACAAGAAGTTCACTGTGAACTAAAAGAATATAGTATTCACCCGCAGATGGACGTCGCTGTCGTATTCTTTGAATAAATATTTATTTATTTATACCTTTCATGTATATGAAGGAATGGTAAATAAATTTTGGTCCGCAGTATGTAAGAAGGAGAAAAGATAGACTCATCGAGTTGAGGAGATTTTAGCATTTAGTTTGGACTCCAAACTAGTCCCTTATTTTTTGGGATACTCCAATAAATTTGGTCCATAGTTGTACTGGTACATTTCAATTAGCTTTTGTCCGAACCAGATCGGACCACTATAGCATATATAAAGGGTGGTTTTTTTTTTAGCTATTATCCTTTTGGCAACACTGATTTAAGCAGTTGACGCTGTGTGTGAATATGTGTTAGAATCTGCTATCCTTTATCGACAGTAAAAATTTCATGACATTTCATCTATTGGAAGTGAAGTTATTGCGTTTTAAGTGTCTGCATGTTTTTGTCATCGGTGCGAAAATGAGCTTCGAACACAGAGCCTACCAAAAATTGCACAGAATTCAACATTCGAAGGACATCATTAAAGAGGCAAAAAAAAGACCCGAACTTCCTATCCAAGATTGTGACTGGTGACGAAACGTGGTGTTTTCAATATGATCCCGAAACGAAACGCCAGAGTGCTGAATGGAAGGCGCCGGACGAACCGAAACCCAAAAAATCGCGCCTGGAGAAGTCAAAAGTGAAGACAATGCTGCAGTGCAATTCTGTAACTTTTATCGACACGATTTGTCGGATCGCAAAGTTACGAATTTTGTCGCTTGCGCTAACGATTATGCGATTCTCTAACACAGCTGTTACGATAATCGACATCGCACATTTCCATTTTATTAAAATGTAGAAAAGGTGGCACCACAGCTCAACGAAACGTCAAAATGTACAAAAAGCACAAAGAGGAATGAAAAAAAAAAAATAAATTTGTTATTGAAATTATTTTTATTAAAAGAATATCAATGCATTACAAAGTTTT